GAAGGCTCTCCCGCCATGCTGCGGAGAACATAACATAGTAGCCGTCGTAAAGCTGATTCGTACAAAGTACAGGTATTCAGTTCTTGTAGGCACCCTTTGTAGGAGTAGGGCATGCTGGCTGGGGGGGGGGGCAGTAGAGTATAGAACAGGGGACGACACCTATTCGGGCCGTGCGCCAAAGGGAATCCAACTTGCCTTCTTCCTGGCCCAACAACAACAAAGCACACAACACCTGCCGGTATGTACTACGGTACCTCCCCAGGCCATGACGTTGAGAGGTAGAGGTTGGGCAATCGAGCCGTAGAGAGGGGGGTGTGGCAGAGTAACCCACGGCAACAACATGTCTCATGTCTCGCAACCTTTGCCACCACCCAGTCGCCATCTTGACCGTTTGGCATGGGGCGAAGGTGTGCTGTGTATGTGCTGTGTTTACCCCTCATCGCAGCGTCAGCAAACTCGCCATTGGCAGTGCGGGCTTACCAGTACTGAGGCCTAGTAGAGTATTGCTGCTAGGTACAAGGTGAGTAGAGTACGGTGCCCGGTAGAATATCTACTGTGTTACCCTGCTTACTGACTTGGCCACCTACCATTGGCATCACATCACGCCAGTCTGCACAACCGCACAGAGACAGGCTGCATGGGGGAACCACCCGGGCGCGAGCGAGGACCGGCAGCAGTGAGCACGCTGCAGCGCGAGCGAGGCTGGCTTTGCCCCACCACACCAGATATTGTGTACACACCATGGTACATAGTACTCGTACCGTACTAAGCAGCTCTTCACTTTTGCCCAGGGTTGTGAGCAGCTCCCAAGGCCGAGCCTGTCAGAAAGCCCGCTTGCTCGCTCGCTCGCTCTCCCAGACGCGAGCCAGACGCTAAACCAGACCGAGTCCTCTTGCCGACGGCACACAATCCCCGCTTTGCGACCGCCAATCCCTTCCCATCAACACGCTAGGTTGTACGGAGTACACACACACACACACACACACACACACACACATCACTACTACCCTAGAGTATGTATTCTCGCCCGTCCCATGGCAGTGCGTGCGCATTGTCCAATCGCCAACCCAGCTTTTTCTCCGGTACCTGTGATTCCTTTTTCTTTTCTTCTGTTCTGCCCGCACGTGGCTGCGGAGCTGTAAGCCTCCTTCCCCAGGAAGCTGCATGTACCACCATTAGCCCACTGTACTCTATACTGTGGTACCACACTATAGACGGGCACGTTGCATGGCTACACATCTTCTTCGCCAAGTCCGTCGTGTACAGAGGCATTCATCACATCACACAGCCAGAATGGCTACTCTAAGACGCCATCTTCTTCTTTGGTTCACAGGCTCGGCATCTGCATGGACCCCATAGCACACTACCTGGTGATAGTACCTACTCGACTCCCCAAGCTGCCTCTACCATAGGCCATACGCTACCATTACGACGGCCGCTTCACTGTGCTGGTAGATAGGGCGACCGCGCTAGCAATCGTGGCATGGCCTACCACCTGCCTGATAGTATCTGCTCTTCCAATACGAGCACCATTGGCAATAAACCATGTCCTTGGATCGTGAACAGCCATTGCGGAATCACGGGCGACAAGTGAAAAGCAAGCATGAACATACCAACAGCCCCGTGCTAATGACGGTGTAGGAGTCGCCTAAAGTCTACTGTACCATAATCGCTGATGGTTCCCACCATGTCCACTTTGGTGAGGATGCAGAATGGCAAAACGACGATCAGTCGGTACATGTGTACAGCGGAATGGATGGATCATCCCTGTCCACAAAAGCCCAAGACGTGTGTGGCCAACTGCACTAATCTCAACAAATGAGAGAGATCTGCACAAGGAATCCCGTACCCATTTGCGATCAACAGCATCGCACAATCAATCACCAAACATGTCCCATCTTCGACTCCAGCCATGGACCTAGCAGCCCGCTGCCATCATCTGCTATTCGTCCCTGGACCAGGGCTCTCAGCTCTCTTCTCTAGCACGCTGTTCCTGGCTCAGATCTGTCATCCGGCCGTAGAATAATAGAACCATGGTTCCAAAAGGCGAGATTCAACCCTCTCATTCTACTTCTCACTGTCCACCTGCTCCTTTCTTTTTTGCTTCAAATCGAGCAAAACAACCGGTCTGCTTGATGAAGCTGCCGAGGCAAGGGTTACTACTACAGGACCAACCGATCCCCCTTTGCGTCATAGCGATTACGTCGACATGTATCCCTACGCCCTAGCTTTTCTTTTGGCAGAGCACATTACGCGTATCATCGATGACGGGTGACACTATACACTCGCATCACTGCATGCAGATTGAAGGCCCCCCCTTGATTCCGAATTTCCCTTGATGAAAGACCTCGTGCGAATGGATCTCCCGGGTTTTTCTTTTTGCTTTTCATGTGCGGAGCGCTAGTGGCCCGTACCTGCGGACGCACGTCCGCCTGCCGCCAAACGCTACCATGGCTGGCTTGGCCAAACCATGTTCAAACCCCCGTATCGTTCGAAGCACATTGCACTTTCTTTTCCCACCTCCTTCCACCTGTCAATCGTCTTGGAACGCTCGCCAGCACAAACCTTCTTACAGCCGTGACGCCCCTGCACCGGTTTCCGAACCTTTGAACCGTACACCAAGATATTGGCAAACTTACCGCCGGCGGGGAGAGTGCATAGCTCCCGCTTCCCGTGTCTTCTGTGCCGGATTATCTCAGGAATACAGGTTGGCTAGTATCCCTTCACGTTGGTCTTGCAGTAGCTACGGTATACCTACAGCAAAGTATCGAAGCTGATTGACAAGTTAGCTTCGACGCATGTCTGCAAGTGCAAAGCGGACTTCATAGTATCTGGATACACATCTCTTTCCCCGCGCTTCCGTCCATCATCATGATCTCTCACGCGTACACCACGATTATAAATCTCTCACCGAGGCTCACCCCACATTTGTCCAATCTGAATTGACCCGACCGTGCGGTGCACAAACAAGGCTGGTCGTATCGCGGCCACAACTCCGATGCACGACGGCCCCGAGTGCCGAGCTTCATGTCTTCGAGACGCGTTTTGCACGTCTTCCACGAGATGGTCACGATTGGCGAGCATCAGGTGAGATTAAAAGCATGCGGAGATGCGGCGTATACAGACAGTACAATGCAGGCTCCGCTTCGAAGCAAGGGAAGACGCCATCCCCTCCCATTGCCTTCGGAGGGCTTACGAATTCCCAACACGAGCAATATCGGACTCTCTGGTCCAGACTTCCAACGATGCCCAACTCGTTTGTATTGTAAATCCATTTTTAGAAGAGTGGAACTGGATCACGGCCCAAAGAATCCCGCCCAACCGATCCGCGAAAATTTGCAAGTCCTGTCTTGCGGGATGTCGTTGATTCTTCGTATTGTACAAGGCAGCGGTAAAAAAGCTCTTCTGCCCATGACCTTGGTGTGCGCAGCATGTGAATTTGGCCGATCGTGGGCATGATTCGTCAAAATTGGCAACACAAATTAGCGAGCCGGAACGCCTTCCGCGCAAGCCCCCCCCCCGCCCCTCCTGGTTCGTACTATGCATCCATGCATCCATGCACGCCCCTTGCATAAACTTCCTGCATCCTTCCCCCAACCCTCTGGACACTCCTGGACACTCTCGTTTTGTTTCCGTCAGCATGCCATGCGTCTGTCCGCCAGCATCCGCGCGCCTGGTCGAAGCATTGTCCCATTGAGGATCCCGATACGATTGTCTGTACAAGTCACACCGTCTGCTCCTCGATTGATCATGCAGATAGCCGTTCGCTTCTCTCGAGCCATGTCCGCCCTCCGCGGGAACGATGACGGCTAGGCTGACGCTTGTTGTACAATGGTGTGTACGACTTGTAGGTGCTGTAGGTACAATCGTTCAAGTGGAAGCTCGGAGCGGGCAAACGAGTCCCCGAGCCCCGGATGCCCCAATGTCCAAATACAGTGAACATGTCCTCGATACGATGGGCCCCTGGGCCAGGCCTGACTGGCTGCTCGGCTCAGAGCTGCAACACGTAATTCCAGCGATAATGGACGCAGATTTTCGACAAGGTTTTTCGTATCTTTCAGCTGCGTTTGCGCCGCACTGCTCAATCGCTTGCTCATGACTTCACTTGCAGTACAACTGGACGTAGAAACCGCCGTGCCGCGTAGGTACCGCAGTAGTTGTCAACATGGCTGGCTTCAGGCACAGCTCCACCGTCGTTTGATGTACGACTATGGCGCGGTACATCGGTATTCCCTCCGAGCTTGTCACCGTGTTGTGGTGATGTCGAGAGAGAAAGTGGAAAAGTACGGATCTGTGGCATCAAAGCGCAAACCAGGATCTTGGCTTCAACGCTCCAGAGGGGGCACAGTTGGACGTTATTCACAACCAGCATCATGCCTGTCGAGGAACCAAACGGCATGACAGCATATGCAAGCACTTGGAATCTGGGCTTGACAACACACAGGACCCTTTCATCACTACCAATCGTCTTAGCCCAACTACCACGTACATGCCTTTTCCCTTTCGTGACTGTCATTCTCACTGCGAACAGGCAACAGACAGTTACGGGACAGACATGGCTAACCCCTTGTGTGGTTGCGACCATTTCCTACAGAGGGGACCAGCTCGGTGTGAACAGATCAAGGGATGCCCTCTCGCTTCCCATCCAATCCCTGCCGTCATCTTGCCAACCCCACGTTTCACAACAGGTCCCAGTGCGGCGGCACTCTGCCTGCCGCCGAGCCGTCATTCGAGGAAAAATGGACAGTGTTTTAATCTCCAACAAATTTGGTCTTTGCAGTCAAGCTGGTATCAGATGAGTTGCAAATGGCGTCTCATTTCCTTCCTTTTCCGCACAGAAGCAGTGGCAATGCGCTGGATAGGGAAGTTTGACGGCCGGCTGTGGAAGTATGCTATCGACACCCTAGCTTGCTATTGCAGATTGTCAACTGAAGACGAGGCAGGGCACTCCAGTTTGGGAGCCGATTTGCAATGGGGAGAATAGGTGTGTGGTGTTGTGGATACGTGCACAGGGTGCCTAGGGCAATCATGCAACCGACGACAGAATAGGGCCGAGGAGGGAAAAGCGATCGACGAACAACTGGGCTCGTTTGGTCCTCTCTGCATGAGCTTTTCAGCAACGTGACTGACCCGCATGTTGATCCATTACTCTGCTGTACTTGCGCTGACTTGTTTATAGGCGCTCTTGTTCGTGGTCGAGTAGAACTCCTTCATGCGATTCTTACTTGTCGAGTTACATGCCTTTTGAATCAACCATGTTTCTCCTACCCTGTTCTTTTTGATCAATATTATCCTCTACCGGTATATGCGAACCAACACACGTGGTCAAACACTCTTCTCACCGCGGTTGCTAACACTCGGGAGCTACTCGGACACCACCTCGGCCACTGAACCATGTTCATTCTCCAGACCAGATTGACATGAGCAATTGAAATCACAAAGGCCTTGCCGCAACCTCGATATGGTGCTGGATTTGCGTCGTCCTGTCGTGTTGCCCTGATAGCAGCCCCACGCATCGCATCGCGATTATATTGTAGCGAAAGGTCAAATGCTCCCAGTGTTTCAATGCAATTGCTCCACTGGGGTCACTAGTGTGCTCATACTCGAGTAAGGAGACAAAACCAGGATCCCTCCGACCCAGTTGTGTCGATAGTCGCAGTACTATACTACAGATATCAGCGTTGGTTGTCAGCAGCGACATTCCAAATTCCTTTGAGACCGATAAGCTCGCCAAGTTGGCATCTTTTGACGAATTAGCGAGGATTGACGGGTACATCTTTGAGCAATTGCTCCTGTGGCAGTTATAAGCGGCAGATGTACAGGGCATTCTCTCGGGTGCACGTCAGCCTTCCCACGCCTGTAGTTCCCGCACTACATACATCGAGAAGAGGGCGGTGCGATAGGCGTACCAAGAAACGGACGACGGCTGATAGAGATCAGCTATTGGTACTGGGATCGATACTATTGTACTCATCATGATACAGATCACCAGCAACCACGGCGACCAAGCCTGTCTGCCGTGGTACTCGTTATCATATAACCATGGATACTATGGCCCAATAGGCAAATCTCACGTCCCCAAGGCCGAAAATCAAACGCCCCGAAACCTCCCCATTGGCTTCCTCGGGCTACGCATTTTCTGCCCCGAGCAATGCTGATTCGTCTGAGCCGCGTGGCGAATTAGTACCGAGATTATTGAGACCCAGACGCGTCACATTGTCGATCAGGATGCCGGGGGAGTGAGTAATGATAGAAATGTACTACTATGTGTATCAGCATGGGGGGAGGGGAGGGGTCAGTGGGGAAGGCGCGATACTCGGTGCTTAATGGAATACATATATGTACCGATACCTACTCAACTATGTCTAGTACACGCTGCATATTGTACTATCTATGTACCGGTACATTAGCACACTTCGAAAGTAACCCAGTGAAAAGAAAGGGGGGAAAACCCCGGCAGATTCCAAACTCCAAGGCTTCCGCGTCTATCGGATCAAGATGACCAACCGTGAGTACCAGTGATGACCAGTAATTACCGCACGCGGGGTAAACAAAAGCATACCCTCCTCAACCCCCAAACCGAAAAGCAACCTACGGGTACCCCTCCCCAAGACTCCAATGCAAAAACTATGTCTAAAACCCTAAAAAAAATCCCAATCCATTCTTCTAGAAGCACATGAAACACGACCCCCCCCCCCTCTCCCTCAGAAAAAAATTACATCCCCGTCTCAGACTCCAACAGCATTGCAACAAAGTGTCACGCGCCACACATGTTACATGCAATTATACAAATAACCCGCCCTATCATAAACCTACCAGCATCTAGCCCGTCCTTGCAAGTAAGCAGGCAAGAGTAAGACACGCAGGGACAGTAAAAACTTTGGGCCTGTTGCATGGTTCATGGGGTGGGCAAAGAGAGAGAGAGAGAGAGAGAGAGAGGAAGGGATGGATGTATGGATGTATGGATGTATGGATGTGTGGGATAGACCAGCCAACCATGCATTTACATTAAATACAGAGTATCAACGCGCACACATGGCTGCGCAAAGATTGCGAGTGCGTGTGATGATGTGGAGTAGGTATGGTATGCGATTCCAGCCTGATCGTGGGTGATAGCATAGACGCGCGCGGGCGCGGGCGCGGAGGAGAAAAGATCGGGCTGGAATGGGAAAGGGATGGGTTGGGTGTCTACTCCGAGAAAGACCTCTGATGGCGCGTGGGTCTACCGTTTAAACGACTCACGCACGCACGGCTCGACAAACGCGTGCTTGACACGGGAGAAATGTCAGGGCAGCAGTAGGGCATTTACAGACACAGATACAGAAACAGACACGGTAGACTGGCGGCTGGGGAGCGCGATTCACGGGTACATTGTGTACATGGATCGCGCGAGTCGGCCGGTTGGCGGATGTGAGTCGAGAGAGAGCTAGAGAGAGAGAGAGAGAGAGAGAGAGAGCGTAAAATGTACAATATGCCATGTGCCAAACTAGTAGAATGACGGGCAGAAAGACAGGCGATCATCCATGTTGCTTGTTTTGTTTAACCGGAAAAGCTCAAACTCTCTTTTGCATAGTACAGCCCGTCCCATGAAATGTACTGGCATACCACACACGGTAACCAGCACGCTCGAGAGTCCCCAATGGCCCCACCCCGCCCTTCTTCTTCTTCTTCTTCTTCACCACGCGCAGGCCCATTCGGCTACCGGTGAACTATGTCTTCGTGCGCCGCCGGTTTCCCCTCTGTCGCGATTCCTGCCCCGGCTTCAATGGCGCGATGCTACACGCCTATTGTATGTACACGTGTGTGCGCAAACTTTGACCGATTGAGGAGAATGAACGACGTTGCTGACTGACAACTTTTGCCGAGTTACCCATGTCCCCCTGGCAGCGATGGAGGCCATCTTAAGGATCATCGCGGCCATGGGACGGACAACTGCTCTCTGTATGGTAGGTATGCACCGTAACCGTCGTACCTGTCTTGCCCCCGAGACTATTGCATTTCCGCGCACCACTATGGACGAGTCGGAGTGAGGCTGCCAGACAGGGTCATTCATCCACTTACCGGTACACATGTGCAGTGCACATCGGGAATAGTAAACTGTATATATTGTACAGGTGGAGCTTTCATCGCGGCGTTGCATGAGCCGCTGTCGTACAGCGTCGTTGCGGCCCGATGCAAGGCACTCTGACATCCCGAAAATCAGGGATCTACCTTGTCGGCAAAACGGAACCACGACATTACCCATGACTTGACGCAGGTCCACTTTTCGCATTGCGGGATGCAGCATAGGGTCCTCGATAGGGTCCGTTGATGAACACGCTTATGGACCGATTATTGCGGATCCAAAGGTCTGGAGCCGTGCAACTACGGTACGCTATTGGTAGTCATCTTCGCAGTGGTCATGTCCGGGATGCGGGTGTGAGGATGTTGGAGAGAATTGGATCGCCACAGTTCGTTGGGCATGGGGGATGAAACTCGATTCGGCCAGAGGGTCAGGCGTGCCACTTTTGACGGGTGATGCTTACCACGCTACTTGCAGTTGCGTCGTGCCATGGTGATCGCCCCGGCATTCGATGCATCGTGACAAATGCTGTGTCACACTCTTGTCAGACTCGCGATGCGCTTGCCACGAGAAAGGTGCGCTCGGCGCTTAGAGCAGGAAGATGTTGTAGTGTGGACCACACCGACTGCTAGTTCTGACCACCACGCGGCCGACGTCTGCTACGGAAGAAGTGCAATTCGAGACGTGTTGCCGAAATCTCATTGCATATCCATTTCATAGTCGTTATCGTCCATGGTGCCAGAGTAGCCATTCTCTTCATCGTCATGGTCGCGGTCCTTGCGTTGCTGTTCGCGAGAAGCCGATATTTTCCTATGAGATGAATGTCAGCCCAGTGTCTTCTATCAGGATTTAGAGAGTTGCTCACCTCAGGCCATCAATTACGCCGGTGACAAAAGCTCTGCCTTCGCCTACTTCCATGCCTCCTACGCCATTCATCTTGACTCCACCTCCAGCATCTAGTACCTCGACACCGCTTCTAAGCTTTGCCATTCTAACTTCCCTCAACCCTCGTAGCAGCTTGCGCACGTTGTCTGACTCGTCCACGTCATCCGACGCCGCTTCGAGCAGCATCTCGCCCAGCTCAAGCCAGTGATAGGGAAGGGCATCCGGCGCTGCGTCTGCTACAGAGTTTGGCAGGAAGGGTGGTGATAGGGGCAGTGTGTTATTCGAAGGCTGTGGTGGGAGTCGTGGAGGGGGAGAGAAGGTCTCGCCATGTTCAATTTCGTGATCGAGAATGGCAGTCAGTGAATGTGTGTTTAGCCATGGTGGTGGTAGGATGTTGGCTCGACGTTGGCGCTTCAATAAGAGGGCCAACCAGAGCGGAACGTCTGTTCTATGCGGTGGATTGAGAGGTTTGAGAGGGCCCTGCTCTACCGTCAGCTCTCCATCCTCAACTTCATACGGGCAGCAGTAGCATATATGATGGGCGCGTGGTGGGGTGGCCGGAGGGTCAGACACATACTCCCAGAAGCTCCAGTCTCTCCAGTCTCTGACGTGGTATGACTGTGACAAGCTCCATCTCACATAGAAAGGCAATCTCCGGGGGCGTCAAGCCCGGTGGAAGAGGCAATGCCATGATGCAACGCGTAACTGCGGGATCGCCAGTGGTTGTCGACGTCTTGCACAGTGAAGACGCGCCACGGAAGTAGCCGCATTGAGTTTAGACCCTAGTTTTGTCAGGGACCTTTTCGATGCGCCCATCCACGCAACCATTGGCCATCCACCATCGACTCCATCCATCGCTTTGTTCGCGTTAGGCAGTACAGAGAGCTCAGATGTCCGTTCTAGTTCGGACAGTTCCTGGTCTCCTAGCTTTGAGTACCATCGTTGGTCTTGCGGCCTTTTGGTTCGCTATTGTATCTAGAGAAGTACCTGAGCCGTATCTGGTAAGCGACTTGTCAATGACTCTAATCAACAGTCCTTCTAAACGGCTATTAGGACGAATTTTTCCATATACCTCAAGCGCAAAGATACTGCAGCGGCGATTACTCATGGGATCCGAAGATTACTACACCCCCAGGATTGTAGGATCACGTATATTGTTTGCATCAAGCATTGTCAGCTCACACTTGCAGATATCTGGTGAGCCGAATCTTGAAGCCGCTATTGGGGTGCGACATTTCATCTCTGCGAGTCTTGAACACACTATCTCTTTGTGCCATCGTGCCCCTGAATTATAGCATATCTCGATTGCTTCGAGCTCGAGATCAACAGACAGGTACTCGATCCGGAAGCCAGGTCACCGAAACCGATCCGACAATACTGCTTGACACACACACTGCTTTCAATATTGCCCTGTTTCCGCCATTGTTCTTCTTTTCCGCACTGTATTATACCGATATCCTATCTACCGTGCTTGTGCTTTGTACGTATGGTCACAGTCTCAGACATGGCTCCATCACCCGCACAATCCCTGCAAAACTTGTCACCGCCATCTTTGGTTTCGTGGCCCTCTGGTTTCGACAAACGAATATCTTCTGGGTCGCCATCTTTCCAGCCGGTCTCGATGTAGTCAATGCCTTGAAAAGTGGACAGAAATCGAATGTAAATACTGCGCCACGAGACATGACGACAGTGTTTCGCAGCAGTTGGAGTGAAGGCTCCGTCTATGACTGTCCTTTACAAGAAGCAGGACCGCAAGGTACACCAAATCAGTCAAAGTCGCCGAGAGAAGAATGATTGTTAACACTTGATCAGATTGTGTCTTGTTTGGACTATCACTAGTCACGGCGACCATCAGGAAACCGGTTCTTATATTGCGAGTCGTCCTACCGTACATCGCTCTCCTTTCCTTATTTGCTGGCTTCGTTCTCTGGAACGGAAGCGTTGTCCTTGGTAAGCAAGAGTGTCCAATTTGATTCCATGGGGCTGATGTATCCAGGCGACAAATCTGCGCACACTGCCACGATACACGTCCCACAAATGCTCTACGTGTGGCCATATATTGTATTCTTCTCCCTACCACTAATGGTTGGGCCCCTCATTCGACCCCTTGTTCGATTTCTACCGGCAAAACTCCAGTCAATATGTAACGACAGTCTGAACGCCCGGAAAGTTTCAATGCTGCCGACTCTCCTGGTGACCACGATGGCCTTGTTGAGCGCTTTTGTTGCCGTACACTTCAATACGATTATTCACCCATACACTTTGGCTGACAACAGACATTACGTATTCTACGTATTTCGAATTATTCGCCGTCATGCGGCGATGAAATATCTCGCTGTTCCCGTGTACTACATATGTGCATGGTTGGTCCTCCAAGCTCTCACTTTTCCTGCAGTTAGTGGGGAAGAGGACACAAAATCCAACCGTGATCACAGACCAACCAACGACAAGGCTGAACCGCGTCAGCCCCAGGTTAGCTTCCTCACTATTTGGTTGGTCACCACCACACTTTCTGTTGTAACAGCGCCTCTAGTTGAGCCTCGCTACTTCATAATCCCTTGGATCATATGGCGCCTACATGTTCCGTACACTCCAGCTTCACTTTCACGGAATTCCTCGACCGGAAAGACGGTATACGACAAGCGGCTCATTTTGGAGACAGGGTGGCTGTTGGCTATCAATCTAGCTGTTTCGTACACTTTCTTATATCGAACATTTAGCTGGCCTAGCGAGCCTGGAAACAAGCAGCGGTTCATCTGGTAGAATCGGGTTTCATTCTACTCGAGTTCTTTGGCTTCATGGCTCAGCTGGTACCCAATGAATAGAAGTTGAGCTCACACCCGTCGTAGGACGAAGGATAAGTAGGATTGCTGAGATAATGAGGCAGCGTGCAACAGCAACCCGATCCATTCTAGCCTTCACAACGTCAATTTCCGAGCCGAAGGTTGCCTCACCTTCATAACCAATACGATCAGAGCGAAAATAATTGCCTTACAATCCGATACTTTGGACATGCTAGATCACACAATGTGCCCCCTATCCAGGGCATTTCATTCGCTATCTTACTCCAAGTGGAAAAGCTCGCCCGTCAATTCTAGCACTTCAAGATTTGCAGTGCACACGGTGAGAGGTTTGATACATGGAGGTAGAAACCTCATCTCTATGTTGACATATTTATTACGAAGATGTTTGACTCTGTCCAGGAAATACAACGATGATGGTTCAAACTCAATAATCTTTGCTACGTGTGTCAACTGAGTGTCTCAAAATGCCTCATAGACATGCTGGATGGCGAGGGCGTGGCGAGGGCGTGACCATATGCCTCACCAATCGTTTTGCCTTTGATAAAGAGAGGGTTCTCTATCTTGCCCTCATCAATCTTCCTATTCATTCATACCAAGGACATTACTTTCAAAGATATTCTCGTTACCAGCCATTCCCTAGAGAGCTCACGACTATCGAACCCGGGTTTTCTTTTCTCGTGTTTCATGATGCTAGGCCAGGATGGGTCACTTCCTAGTGATCATTTCGCTGGCATGCACCACTTCCCAAGTCGCTACCAATCACGCTCCGCCCCGTATATCCCGCTAACTAACTCGACTCCGCAAGGCCATGGACACACAGGTTCATCACAGGATACGACCAGTGTTATGGACGTCTCCCTGCACCACCCTTACCACACAGATATCAGCTATAACTTTCCGGTCAAGCCCACAGCGCCAGCAGGAAGAACGTGTGCAAGCTATGGGGCTTTGCATGATTTGGACACATTGGTGAGCGTGCTATTCCCCCATAGCTCGATCAACCGCCGTTCGGTGAGAAACGTCGACACAAGCATTGCTGCCCAACGTAGTCTGCAACCACGCTTCTGAGGCTAATCCATTGGACCAGCAAAGTGCAGGCGGTCATAGCAGCACGTCCTTTGACACTTGGCTGCCTCATCCGAGTCAAAACCTCTGCCATATCATCCCACAAAACCCATCGTCTCCTCCTTTTTACGGAGATCTATATAATCCTCAGCTAAACACAACCAGATCAAAAGAACATGTCCTATTCGGTTTTGGCAGTCAGATCAGAATGCAGTCTCCCCAATCTAGAACCGACCAGAGAGCAGCAGCCCTGTCGACAAGCGGCTCAATGCTCGGCACAGCCCCCATGACGAAGAAACGCTCGACGCCAATGCACATGACGGACAAAGAGAAACCAAGCCTGCCAATGAATGAACACACGAAACACTTACAACCCTCGATATCTGGACGAAAGAGGCGTCTTCGCAACCGTTCAGAGACCGCTTCTACACGAACTGGGGGATCTTTTGGAGATGCAGACATTGACGACCCTATCGTGAAGACGTCGTCTGATAATGACAGTTTGACAACGAGGCAGAAAAACTTAATAAAGAGTTGGCATGAAAATTTTGCACAGCCCAATACAAGTTCCAAAGAGCTGGGTGAAACTGCTGAAGCACTGGCATACCTTACTCGGGCACATCCAACTCTGGTCAACGAGTTCATTTCAAGATTGAACATGGGAACTGCGTCTAAAGAGGAGTTTGTCGACACTCCACATCCAGATGTGATCCGCTCGCCGACCCGGTATAAACGCCTCCGCTCAGAAGCTTCGTGCAACATCGCAATGGCCAATGCCCATCTCCCCGCTCCAACACTCGCCCTTGTACAAAATTACATCGCAACCTGCCGCCGCCAACGCTCTCGGACTGATGGCCGACGCACGGTAAACAAGGGCCCCTTCCGCTGCACCTTTGGCTGCGGTTACCACACAGCCCGCGTCTTTGATTGGCGACGCCACGAGGAAACACACGAGCCGCAGGAACTTTGGCTTTGCAGTCTGTGTTACAAGTTCAACACGGATAGCCCGTTCATGGTGAGCCGCAAGGACAAATTTCTACGGCACGCAAGGGAGATTCATAGCGAGGTGGAGGCGGAGAAGTTACTGGATGAGAGTAAAGTCAAGTTCACGCCCAGAGGCGGCCTGAAGTGTGGGGTTTGTGGGGAAGAATGTGGGAATTGGGAGGACAGGTGCAGACACATCTTGACACATTTTGAGAAGGAGCAAGAAGGGAAGAGGGGGAAAAGAGGAAGTGACGGGGGTAGGGAGGTGAGGAAGGGTAATATCCGTGAGCCCAGGAGTATTTCGGGTCTCACTTACAAGGAGAGTGAAGCGGATTGATGTGTTCAGGGGTCCAGGCTACAGTCTATTGAGAGAAATCATCGTGTTCTATAGGAAAGCATTTTATTGGCGTTTACAGACCATCCTGCACAATGCTATCGAATTTATTACGTACCTTTGCAGAGAGTCATGATATCTTCCATCCTAACAACACTTCCAGACAAGAAGACAAGAGAGCAGTCATCGTCTTGCAATTCTTCGTTCAGGAAAGCGTATAAGGAAAGTGAAAATTCTCGAATGGAGGATTTAGACGTTACTATTGAACCTTCCAGATGGTATGAAGACAGATTATGCTCCAACTTTATTGACATGTCTGAGGTCACCTAGTCAAGGGTACAGATGGGTTTGACATGCTCTGGCAAGAGACTGAACATATTCTGAGTAGCCACACTTGAATGAACACCCAGGATGGATTTAGTTTCATTTACGATGCATCTGATGTTGTTAGTCGCCATCAACATCTCCAAGCCAAGACGGGTTGCATGAGCCAATTCGATCCAAAGAATGATGGTGTTGGAAGTAGTCCAAGGGTCGACACACCCAAGGCACAGAAGACCAAGTAAAGTATGATACCCACACTATAAAATCGAGCCTGCAGTAACCGTCATCAGCGAGTCAACTAGCAAACTCAATTGCCGACAACTTCCACAGAGGGTAGGGATGACGACGCCCACAACTCACGTTGCGCCTCGGCACGCTACCGGTGCGGTAGGAACCGGTAAATCCAGGGTCCAGGGTCCAACCCAGACCTCCAGACTTCCGGAATCTCCTCCACAAAACGTCACCCCCGCGTGTGCTTGTCCTCCCGTTCGTCCGCAACCGTGAAGAAGCCGCGTGGGCTTGGCAAACAAAGGGGAAAAAGAGAATTCTTGTGTGCAATTGCATGCGCTTGAGCAGAGTAGACCGAGAACTCTCCATCTGCGCCTCTCTTTTGTCCTACTCAATCTCTTCAATCCCTCTCTCTCTCTCTCTCTCTCTCTCTCTCTCTTCCAAGTTCCCACGAAGAACCACCATATCTTTCTCAATTGAAACCCAACTTCCCCTCCCGAAACGAAACCAGGTGGACACAATGGACAAGTTAAAAGAGGCCGAAAACATTGCGGCGCAACGGCTGCGCAAAACGTTCAAATACCCATCTGAATCCGACGACGAGAACGCCGTGGAAAACGGCATGGATGAACAAGGTACTTACTTCCTCCCCCACCCCTTCCCCTGGCTAACAAAAACCCCCCTCCTCGCCTCTTGAATATAGATCGCAACACCCTCATCCAAACCCTCTCGACACAAGACACCTCCGCAACCCACACCTACACGCTACTCCTGCTCCTCCTCCCCCTCGCCCCCATCCCCTTCTACCTCCCCCGCCTCCTGACGCCTCACACCCTCCTCCCATCCCTCGTGCACATCGCCAGCCTCCTCGCCTCCGCATACACGCTGTACTACCTCCCGCTCGCACCCACAGCCATGCAGCCCATTGACGGCGCCCCCGTCCCCGCCGCCCCGACATCGCGCATCCCACCCTGGGAGCGCACCGGCGAAACGCCTGGCCGTCGCCCGGTGCCGTGGCTGAGCGCGTCGACGGCGGATTTCCTCGCGCAGTGGCTGGTGGTCGGGAATCGGGCGCTGTGTGGCGTGTTGGCCCTGTATGACGTTTTTCTGGGCACCGCGTGGGCGGACAGGCTGGCTGTTGGGGGTGGGTTTTTGCCCGGGCTGGTTTGTATGCTGATTTTGTGGGCGAGGACCGAGTTGAGGATTATTGATGTGGAGCAGCTGAGGGCTTGGGAGAGGGGGTTGAATGAGGGCGAAGGGAAGGGGAGAGCGGAGGGGAGGAGACGGTAGGGGTGGAATGGCATGGGAGCGAATCTTATGACTTGGAGTACTTGTTAGCAAGGCCATATATGCGTGTATATGTATCGGATGATTGATCCTAGTTAGGTATGTAATCTATGAGTCTATGTACAAGGAGGGGGCGTCTTCGTAAATCATATCATCCATCGTAAAGCCAAAAGTGATGCAAGTGAGTATACCCCGAAAAAAGACAAGATGACAAAAAACGGAGGTTACTAGCCACCATTCGAGCTCAGCCGCTCCTAAGCACGTTTCCAAAACAGATAGTACCGCCTCCTCGGCACATCAGCAGCCACAGGCCTACTATCCCTCAGCGCCGACCCATCCTCAAGCTGATACGCCTTTTCACTGCCCCTCTTCTTCCCCTTTTTGACATCCCTACGACTCGCACAGCAGCAGCACAGGCCCACCTGAACGAGACCGGCGAAGATGGCAAACGCGCTTGCAATCCACATAAAAGCAAACAGGGTGGTGCCAACGTCTGCGCCAATGTTGAGTTCTTGGACACCGCCAATGGTGTTGCGGAAGATGATGAACATGACGGTAGCGATGACGGCTGCGGCGGTGACGATGAGGGCGTTAAGCAGGGCGAGGAGAGAGACGAAGAGGGTGAGCCAGCGGGTGTAGACGGATATGGGCATGAGGAAGATGAGGACGAAGGAGAGAAGGGTGCCGGTTAAGAAGAGGCCGAACATCCATTGGGAGGCGAGTTTGATGAGCTCGAGGATGTCGTTGATGTCGGCGGGAAGGTTAACTAGATTGGGGATGCGTTAACCCCTTCCTTTTCCTTTTCAAAATAATAATAATACCAACAGCATTATCAATAGAACATGTTCAAGAGGATCCAAAGACAATGAGAAAAAGTGGAATAAAAAAAAAGACTTACTCGACGCCCCAGCAAGCAACTGATTGCTAATAATCTCGACCGGATTAAACCAATACAGCGTCTCTGGCTCGGAGCAAAACGTTACACCTTGCCCTTCGTAGCCCTCGCAATACCCCCACATGCCGACCTGATAGAAGTCATGGAGCCCCAATGTCTGCGCAATCGTATTGATGAGGGCAAAGTTGGGTACACTGGCCGGCACGACTTCACTCAGGTCGAGCCGGATAAAGTACCAGTCCCGGATGACTGGCCTATTGCTTACGCCACCGATGTTGACGAGGATAAGGAAGATGACGGCGATGAAGAGAAAGAAGGAGGTGAGTAGGGCCCAGGTTTTGCGGGTGCGTGTGGCGCGTTTGATTTGTTCCTTGGAGAGCTCTTGGACGGGTGGAGCGGTGGTGGTGGTGTCTGTCGGTCCGACGGCTGTCTCGTCTGGGGCCCGAGGGCGGCGACCGAAGAATCCCATATTGCTCTATGGTGGTACTTTCTTATCCTTGCTTGGTGTGTCTTCTATGGTGTGGCGGTGCGTGGCGTAGGATTCCTCAATTGCAGCGTCGCCAACGTGAAGAGAAGACGACTGAACTCCACACACGCACGCACACGGTCAAGTCCGGGCTGCCGGGAAAGAGAAATACTTCAAGCGTCCATGGGAGGAAGGCGGAGTGACAAGGGCACAACAAGGCACAAGAAGACAAACGTCAAGAAACGCGCGGACGTACAGTATTGGATCCACCACGCGGCCAACAAGGCCCAAACCATAGCGATTTGCGCGGAGGCTTATGACGTAGCTTGGGACCCTCTTGTACTAAGAAGGCCAGCCACAAAGTTTGAGAAAGCGCAGTCTTGCGGACCAACAACGACGACGCAGAAACAAGACGCTAGAGAGGCTTGAGGATGGGGCGGATGGGCGAGGGCTTGTGCAAAACGCATTGGATACGCCCAGGAGCAAAGAGCACCGGCGTAGGCAATGGTCTCTATATCGGATAGAGCGACGCTTCATCCGGAGGGAGACCTGACGCGTCGTTTATTGAGGCTGGGTGGATGACGGCGTTCTCGGCACGGATGAGGGGGGAAAGAGTGATTGCTTAGTTACCGGTACCGGTGTATACCGCTAGATGTACACCGTTACGCAGGTGCAAAGACAACAGAGGGTGGCTCAATGTAGGTAAGCTGCCTCTCGGGCCAGCGTAAGAGTGTAGAAGAAGTCCATAGGGAGACATGTTTCGGTACAAGAAAAGCGAGCGAGTGAGCGGGCGAGCGAGTGAGTGAGTGAATGAGTGCATCACATTGAATTGACAGCCACCTCATACGATAGGCAGCGAGATTTGCCCAGGGAGTCGTTCAAGGTTGAAAGGGAAGAAGTGCGGATGATCGGCAGCGCCTGAGGCTCCCAGTCTAAGTTAGCCCCAAAGGAGAAAGCCCCCCCCCAAACCAATTCGAGGCCTCCTCTTTAGACCTGTATATAGACAGGAGCTCCACGAAGTATATACTCTACTGGCCATCTACCGCTACCGTCGACGCCATCAGTCACAATACAAGTATGCCCAACGTCCAGCTTCGCTTTCTCCCCCCCCCCCTACCACAAAACACACCGCTCACGCACAATCACTTCCTTCTCATCAACAGTACTCCTAAAACCAGCAGAGGCGCTCTCTTCTTTCCATTGTTACATTTCTATAAGGGTCAACATAGGTTACCCACTTCGAATGGAATCTCGACAACACCCTCCTTCACACACAGAAGCCTCCATCCAAGCCGCACCTCCTGTTGGCAAGCCTGACCCACCTCCGCCACCATCACCACCGCTTCTTCCACAGGACCACCTTCACTTGAGAAGAACAAGGAGAGAAAAACTATAAATTAGACATAATAACGCCTATCCTTTGCCGCTGAACCGCTATACGAGTCCTACAAAACAAACGGCTGTGTCCTTTGTGTGTACAAATCCGCTTGACCGTGATGAGAAAGGTTAAGAATAACAAACTTCTGTCCACTTACAGAGACGCGTCGGGCCGACGGTGGTACAAGGACGCAAAAGAGGTGAAGAAGCAGACGCGCGCTTGAGTCTATAGCCATTTCTCAACAACATCGTCATGTCTGACATGCAAAGGGAAGCTGTTGCAAGCTTTGGATACGGCTGAGCTTTTGATTCGGTCAAGGGAGAAACAAAGCCCTGCCAGCGAGCCCGTGTATGTGTGGTGCTCAAATCTTTGTCAATTGCGGTGTACTATCGCCCTCTATGCTTTCGATACAAGGTTCATCTGCGGTCGGAGCTGGACCATGAAATCGTCTCTGGTTCCCACAACCTCTCTGGGTATTCGGCTGACCCGGTTGGCTCCGCTACGCACAGCAAATCTGCCAACTGCAGAGATGCCAGAGCGGTTCGAGCGAATAGAGCCAGCATCCGACGCCCCACTGCCGGCAGGATCACGGATTCGACCTGGCGGTGCAAAGTCCAGCGCAGTGAACGTACCCGATTTGCGCATCAGATGCGGGCTGGGCAACACAGGCAGCTCATCGTACGAGCCAACAAGAGGAGTGTGAGGTCGTACTGCAGGGCTATACGGCCTTGGGGTACCCAATGGGCTATCCGGCCGCATGCCATTTTGCCTCTCACGGAACGAGACTGGGGGTGCAAAGTCGATGGGGTCGAATACCATGGAGTTTTCAGTCAGCTTGGCGGGCGTAGGTAACGATGAAAGCGCAGAAGGGGGAGGCAAAGGCTTCCTGGCCGGTGCGGGTAGTCGTCCACTCATGGAAGACATGCCACGCGGCGGGAATTGCGACGAAGCTATTGAGCCATTGGACATGTGGGGGCTAGGTCCAGTTGTAGTGCCACTGCGGAAGCGAGGAGGGGCACGAGGAGGGGGTGTCATGGCACGACGTGTGATGGGCTCAGCAAAGGGCGCGTTGGGTTGAGCGACGATGAAGTTGCCGTTGCGCGAATCAAACAGAGTACCGTCCTGGTATTCCGAGCCGTAGTCCTCGTAGTAATCCGTGTAGGTATTGGCCCCCACAGGTTCAGGCTTCGAGTCGTCAAAGTATTCCTTGTAAAAAGATCGGATGCGGTTGGCACGTTGCTCAGGGTCCTCTTCAGGATTGTCCGAAGGAAGGGGGCGGAGGCTCATTGACAATCGGTTGGCATTGCCACCAAAGTTTTCCACACCAAGTCCAGCTGGACGTTGGGGTTGAGGTTGTAGAGGCTTTGGTGATAGAGGTTCTTCTGGTGTTAGGCTCAGACGGGGCGATGGTGGCGTTACCTGGAAGCCTTCACCGTAGCTGGAAGTGCTGAGTATGCTGTTCGTGTAGACGTTGTGGTGCACAACAGCCTGCTGGGACTGGACGCGGGGAGGGAAAGAGGCTTCAGTAGTCTCCACTGGGGATCTCGTCACTTCCTTGCTGGCAACAGCTGGCTCAGGGATGGAGATTTTGGGAACGTCCGGGGTCTTGAACTCGGCATATTGCGTCTTGGGCCCACTTGCCTCATTTTCCGTAGAGAGCGGAAGCGGTTTATTGGGAAGGCGAGGATTGAGCGGGCTGAGCGCGGGGACTGACTCCGGGAACTGCGAATCGGGTGACCGGGTGCCATCAGGAGAGAGAGAGTCGCCGCGGACGGGGACGGGAGACCTCGACATTCTTGACGCGTTCTTGAGAAGTCCATCGCCCATTCTGTCTTTCTGGGTGCCTACGCTTGAAGCCGTGTAAACAGAGGCGTGATCGCCACGAACGCGGGTGGGGCTGCGGACGCTCGCATCATCCTTGAGGAACGTGACTGGGCGATAAGGGTCGTGAGGGTCAAATTGCGAACGGGACATGGAGTGAAACGACTCTCGCGAGCCGTGGAGGCCGACTGGCAGAATGTATGGGCTTCCGGTCTCGAGGGAGAGACCGCGATCGTGGGTTCCTCGCATCTCCTTTTCAGACACGCTCATCTCGGGCCCCTTCTTTCCGTCCTTGACACCACCAACACCAGGCTCCAAACCAAAATCCAAAGAGTTATATTTATCCCTCGCATCCTCTGCAATGAGCTTCTTCTTGTTCCTGAAGTGCAAATAGACCAATACCACAGCCAGGCCGATGACGGGAATACTGTGTTGGGTTAGCCCAAGTCGTACGTATACTCGCAGCGCGCTTGAAACCTACGCGATACCGAGCGCGATAGCCAGGGTAGGCGTTTGTGTAGGCTTCGTACAGCCAGGATCGCTGTCGTTTTTGCATGTGGAAGTGGCACGAGCTAGGAGGACGCGGCTCGCCTTTTCTGCCAATGTTCTGGTGACTTTGCTGCCGGCTGCGACAAATCCTTGATCCCGCACAGGGTGGTGGATATGAGTTTTGTGGAGTGGGTGCGGCATGGCTATGTACAATGTCTCATAGGGTAGTAGTTGGACAGCACGCAGTTCTTGTTCCCAAAGCGGAAAGCGACTCGAGGCAATGGCCGACGTGAGGGCAGTCGCAGCTGTACAAGGGACAGGGGGAAGTTGGAATAATATATATAAATATTAACAGCGTGAAGTTCGTGTATCGTTCGTATTTGGGCAAGATGCAAAAAGGCGATTTGCTTGTGTGTATGTGCTGTGGCTTGTATGTGCTGGAAGCGAAGATTTGGGATAAAGGAGTGATGACGGCGGATGGCCAAGTGGGAGCAACGACAACGAGAACAACAACAAACGCTTTCCGTTCCCTGTGAATTAAAGAAAAAAGAATGACTGTGGGTGGGATAAAGGAACGGCAAGAGCGTTGCAGCTGCAAAGGTTGAGGTTGCGGAGGAAGCGGCTCGGACGAGGACGGGAGGTGAAGAAAGGAAAGTGGATGAGATGATGGATGGGGGGGGAATAGATGAGGCGCCTGGGCGGGCTGCTTGGGCTGGTGAGAAGCAGACGGGCGCTTTGATTCTCGAACATGGCCGACCGAGCTCCCTATTGGCCAGGTCTGCACGGGTCAAGCCTGGGACGCCGGCGCGCTTCTTCAGGGATTTGCCCAAGGGGGGTGGTGGTGGTGCGGTGAGTGCCTCAGTTGCCTAGATACATACACAGTACATAAGTAGATAGTACACAGTATGTATGTACCGACATGGCTAGGTACCATCTGCTAAGGTTGTAACCTACCTACCATGTACTGCACTGCACCTACATCGACACAAGCCGGGCCACGGTGTTTCGAGCTGGCCCTCACGAGTCGCGCGCGGGTGCTGTTGCTGCATTCCAGCATGGCCAGGTTGCCAGGCCCACCAAGGATGTCGAAAGCGAATGAATGGCAGGTACAGTACATACAGTACCCATGTGTACTGTGTATGTACTGTATGTAAGTAAGTATGGCTGCCTGTGCGTAGTGCCTTCACCTAACTATCCTCGCGAGCGCTTCCTCGTCGTCTGGCCTCGTATGTACCCGGCTGCACATCGCCGGCCCTTTGTGCCCATCGTGCGCGAACCATGGTCGTGGATACGATGCAGCTTGCACCCGACTTCAGCAATCAGGAGGCTGCGTTGGATGCCACGCGCCGTGTGGCCGTTGAGTTCGGGACAGCAGAAGTTGGCAACTCGAGTTAGACGATCGCAAAGGCTACGCTACGTGTGTTCGGGGATGATGCCTTTAGTTGGCTAGTCCCAATCGGGACTAAGCTACTGCAGGTACCGAGGGAATGGGCACACGTGATTGGCTCCCTCAACCAAAGCTCGGATTGGCTGACAGGGGGACAGAACGGCCAAGGAAGCGCCCTCAGCCCCTGAGCTACTCTATGATTGTGAACCGTGGCATCGCCATCCTACAGTCCAACCCTCACCACCGGCACCCACACAAAACCAACCCAAACTAAACCAAACCAATCTACTACCACACTACCATAACAATATCCATCACCATCATCATCATCATCATCATCATCCCTTTTCAGTATGCTGTGCCCACGGATGCCAATGTTCAGCCCCAATTCCTCTCGACGTTGCTGCAACGACAGGGTGGCCTCGAGCCTCATTCACAGGCATTCATTCCTCTGCCTGTTCCGATCTTCTAGAGCTAGTCTGGCCCAGAACGCCGGGACCCACTTACTGCTCATTTCCCACCCTCATAAAAAAAAACAGTCGCAGCCTCGCGCCCACCTGCTTTGTGCACGACAGGTTGCGGAGCTTCGTTCTTCATTCAGCAAACAGCCCCCTCTCATGCCGCGTGGGACTGGCTTTGCACGCAGGAACAGAGCGCCCTCTCCTCATCCTAGCTAGGACACCGCCACTTCTTCAATTTGTGCAATCACCCTGTCCTTATCACTACGAATGCCTGTCTGCCCATCCCCTTTCTCGTGCGCTTCATGGGAAAGCGCGGCATCGTTAAGCTCTGCCGTTGCAATCGATAGTCTCTGTCCGGTTTAGCTATTCCCTAGCGCTGAGCCGCTGCTGTCGCGTCGACCACTGAGATCGCCTGCACGAAACCAACAAGCTCTTTCTTTCAAAACGCCTTTGGTGGTAAGACAGGTTCGGTACGCTTGGTGGTAAGACACATTCGGTACGCTCATGTCGGATCTGTCGACATGGCTGGTCGGACATTCTGGGAGGGGGGTCCTTCATCAAATCTCGCCGCCTGCCGCCAATGATCGACAGTCACCCCTTCATTAACGTCGCAAATTACAGTATACCGTCTTGCGCCATTTGCCTGTGACAAATCGTCTGGCCCGTCGAAACGAGGGTATGTATTGAAATCGTGGCCATGTCGTTGTTCACAGGAGCTTACTGGGTTACACTTGCTGTTGATGTTTGTGTGACACCATGCGTCGCCTGTCAGAAAAATGACACCTTGACTGGACTAGTAACGAGCACGTTTCGTCTCATGTCAACTTTGCTGCTGGCTTATTAGTTTTCCGGAAAAAGTAGGTATACAGAGTCAGAAGGCCAGAATGTTGTAGTCGTTGTACTTGTCGCTGCTGCGCTGTCCAAGGAGAATCGCATGTCGGTTAGATTCCTAAAGAACAAAAATAGTGCACAGAATAAGATGACAGAGGAAAAGTGTCCAACGGACCCGGTAGAGTCGTCATGCTCAGTTGGAGACATCCGGTTCCTTCATAGGGTCGCCAGCAACGACTCTCAGGGTATGTTCATGATTGTGAGCTTCTGGCCATGTAGGCAAGTTTGTGAACGGTCTCTGGACCCCAACATCCGTTCCGTTTCAAGTCTCCGTTGTTTGACTTCATCCTTCTTCAACGTTGAAAAGACTGGCAACCGCCCGTGCAGGATTTGCAGGTTCGCATCATCGGAAGCAAAATGGTTGACTGTGTCGCGTGAACGTGCCGAATGTGTTGGGCACGTGATCCAAGCAGGGCGGCTAGGTCAGGTCAGTCACATGCCGACCATCCGATCCCACTCGACAGAAAGCTAAGAGTAGACGGCAAAACAAAGGTGCAAAGGTGCCCCGAGCCCCGATGACAGGAAGATGATGCAATTGATTGCCTAGGTCGACTGGTCACATGTGTCCGCGTGGTGTGGTGCAGTAGCACTGTCTACTCTACTGTACTCCTATGTAGTAGAGTAGTAGGCAATACATGGTAACAGGACAGTAGGTAAGTTACCAGATCACAAGCGATAGACGGCGATCGTGGGGCAAGCGTGGCAGGGGCAACGCCGGACGAGGGCAACTTGACCCGCGCTCACCAATGACGCACTGGCCATAGAGGTCACGCAACAAATCACCATCTACCAACAAAGACGTACATGGACACGACAATTCACGCTCAGCTAATCCCGTGCCTGACCCCCTTCAACGCTCCACCCTCCCGCCTCCCCCGATCCCATTCGACCATTACACCTTTTCCTCCTTATTTGACGGCCACTCTACGGCTGTTGATCGCAAACACATTGCCAGTCACATTCCACTCACACAAACGCCCCCGCCCATTGTTCCGTCTCACATACGTCCGAGTCCGATTCTTCTTACGTTGACCGGGACGTTCAAGCTTGCACAAGCACATCCAGTATGACTTCCTCGCAAACAGCAACTTCACGCACTCCCATGTCTGGTGGCGGTAGCAGGACCATCGAGGTCCGGCCACAGCCTGTGCTGCGCCTGTCTGCCCCTTCTGGCGTCCTGCGCCTGCGTGCAGAGCCAGCAGAACAGCGGCGCATTCAATGGGCCGAGGATGTAGTCGACAATGAAGGAATGGGCAAGAAATCGTCAAAAGGTACGTGCGCCGAGTTGCGCTTTCTGAGCGACCATCAGAACTCTGACTATCCATTCAGTTTGCTGCATCTACCACAAGCCTCGCGCTGCTGACGAATCGTCCGACGATGACTCCTCGGACAATTCCTCGTCAGATTCAGATGCCGACTCCGAGCCAGACAACAGCACAGCCAGACCGGCTGGCAGGAGTGGTAATCATCGGGGCCGAAAGCCTCATTCGCACGACCACGGCGACTGTGGAGATGGACATGACCATGGTGAAGATTCGGGAAAACAACAAAAGCGCACTCGCCAGCGACGCAAGCCCAGCCCGAATGCTTATGAGAAAATGCCAAAGACCAAGAAATAGGCCTCGCCATCACAATCCCTCAATTAGCTTGCAAGATTCCACACCTGGATTGATTTGCACAAAACCCTCACGACATGATTGACATTCACGACTGCTGTACTAGCAAGGAGTTTTGGGGTTTCTTCATCATCATGTACAAGCGCCTTGTACCCAGCAAAACCAAAGTGATCAAAAGTTGCAGAAACCGGGGTTGGACATTCGGAGAACCATGCATGTATCCACAGCGTATCGACCTGCTCAAGGGTACTTTCTTGTATCACAGTAGCGATTCAAGTACAGTTGCGCATGCAACGAATTTGGCCATGGTTGTATTGCTACCTTTGTGCCCTCGTATCCTCTCTTGTGACCTTCTGTTCATTTGCGAAAGAATTCTTCCGGCGTGGGTTCCAGCGTGTACAGCCTGATACTCCGACTGGCTTTGACGTTGGGCTCCTGTGCATGACGTGCACCACAAACCACTCGTTCTGTCATCTCTCGCGAATCGGAGAAACCCCGTTCCACTCCACTCTCTCGTATCGGGCACGCTCTGATTGATACGCCCCCTGTAGAGTCTACCAGCGCAGAGCGCTTGAATATGATTTCCTTCTTCGTCACGTGTCATCTTCATTCTGGAGCAGCACCTGCATTGGCCTGTTCCAGAAGCGCAGGCGCATGCTGCGTGGGAATCCGCACAAGAGTTTGGGGCAAGGGGGGCGCATCCTCAGCCCTCTTCTCTGCATCCTCTTCCTCTTTTGGCTTGGGAAGTTTGGCTGCAACGAATTAGAGCTAAGCTTGGGCAGGATGCATGGAGTGACTTACTGGATGCCATGTTGATTGCGCGGAGGACGTTGTGCCAATTTGAAAGGACGGCGGCGACCGCTGGAAAAGGGACACGTCAGTCTCACATCTCGTTGGTAGTGACGGCGCATCATCCATTGAGTAGTGGGTGCGTGCGTGCGTGTGTGTCTGTTCTCGATGCCAAATTCAAACAAACTGTACTGTACTGAGACATACCTTCGGTCCCGTCAGATAGAGTTTGCAGCTTATCTGCTAGCATCTGCATTTGGTCTGCCAATCCACCACTGAGTGCTTGCAAGTCCTTGAGGTTCGCAAGTTCGGCTTTCTTCTCTGCGATGCGTGCGAGCATCACTGGAGACTGCTGCTGCGAGCCACCCAGCGACGGATTCCGTAGATGAGAGGGTAGAGGACGGGCATAGTTTGACATTTTGTCTGACCTGAGGTGAATATGCTTCGCCTTCACACCCTCTCCGAGGTGCGACGTGAAGTTGCTAGTGGACGCGTCTTCTCCATGAGGCCCCTCCGACTCACGTGCCAACGCTCCCACACGACGCCCAAAAGAGCCCTAGCGTCCGCGTTGCTAAGGTAAACAACGCCCCCCAACTTACACGATATGACGATAACGAGACGGGCAACAACGACACACAGCGCACGATTCCAGGCCTGCCACAACCACACACATTTCATTGCTAGACAAATATTGTCCATTATCCATCTCGACATACATAACCCTTCTCTGCGCACATGGCGCGCCTAAACGAGCCACCGGTTGCGCCGCCGCCATCGGCGGAGACTTTGGATGCTGTGAAGCGCCGTTTTTTGCGACAGAATCGCGAATTAGCCAAGACAAATTCGCAGCAGTCTATTCGCATCCGGAGTCTCGAGAACGACTGTTCGCGACTGCTGGCAGAGAATTTGGCGCTGAGGGAGCAGGTCTTGAATCTGCACAACAACATCGAGTCGCAACCTGCATTGGATCACATTGACGCGGTCAAAAGCGAACTTGAGGCTAAGCTTTTGGAGCTTGGTGGTCTGGTTGCAGGGCTGTCGAAAGGAAAGAAGAGTACATCGGAGAGAAGCACAGAAAGGCGCAAGAGTCAGGTCTCAGCGCGAAGAAGGAGTGGGGAGAGACAATGGAGGAGTGGACTTGGGCTGCAAGAGGTTGAAAATGGCATGTTGCCGACAATTACAGAGGACAAGTACTATCCTCGCACCACTCTTGGGTATGTTTACTCGGATTTTTCCGCCATTCAACGAGGCTTCACCCCAGTCGCGGAGCTTTAAAATGGTAGACTATAGTGCAGACTGACCGTGTACAGTGCCGAAGAGCTTCAACAAGTGCTCATTGATCCTGATAGCCAATCGCCCGATATTGGCCCCCCACCTGTGTCGCGATTCGAGGATGAACCCATCGCTTTCAACACCGATGCTCGCGCAGAGGAGCCGGTAGAAGAGCCGGCAGAGGAGTTGGCAGAGGAGATAGCAGAGGAGCCAGCAACATCCGAAGAAGCCACACTGTCTGCCAATCTCGAGACACGTAAGAAGCGGCGAGAGAGTGGGCCCAAACTGAACATTCGTCGCGTCTCACTATTTGAATCCGCAGAGGAGACGGAGGAGACAGCCATGAAGCCAGCCCGCGCAACCAAACGAAAATTCAGTGTACAAGAAGATGAGGATAGACTTCTCTCCAAAGGAGAGCCATTCAGGTTCAGCCGCCGAACTACCCCAGCTGCTTCGGAAATGGAGGCATCTAACGAGGCATCTAGGCCCTCTTCGCCTGAACGACCTGTTCTTGGAGCTAGTAAGACTTGTCTTCACTGGATCATGATCTTCGCTAATTGTCGCAGAACCTGTCAATACCGATCCAGTTGTTACAGTGTCACCAAAGAAGCAGCGCTCCTCTGTTGAGGACAAACCGGAAAAGCCTGCTAAACCTGTAACCAAACATCGTGTTCGCCCTCGTTTGAACATTACGCGCAATAACACGCAACCTGACTTCCCCGTCCTACCAATGCCTGAACCAATACTGACGGCCGACATCGTCCTCGACTCGCTACCACCGAAGACGCCAGCTGTGGAATCCATATTTTCTCCTCCTTCCACGGAGCCTTCGACCCAGCGACCAGAAAACAAAGACACGCCTCCACCCGGCGATCTCAACGCTGCTGTCCAGACCGGACAAGGGACTCGACCTGGGCGTCGTGCACGCCCACAAGTCAGCTACAAGGAGCCCAGTCTCAACGTCAAGATGCGACGCCCCGACGCCAAGTTGGTGGACGCAGTGGTCGATCGAAGAACTAGTGTAGAGTCTCAATCAGCACCTCCGACTACGATCAAGCGCCAGACAGCCGACGATCTGAACTGGAAGCCAGTGACAGCTATTCCTGGTCGTGGGGCCGACGAGGAAGTTGAAGTCGGAAGTCCACTGCGACAAAAGCTCGATAGGCAATCGCAAGACACGAAGACCTCGCCAACCACAGAATCCACAGTAGAGCGTTCGACCGCTTCCAAAGCCATATCAGCATTGATAAACGAGACGAGCACGGCTAAACGGAGAGCATCCGCTTCAGCAGATGCATTGGTCTTGAAAACAGCAACAGAGCCTGTGGTAGCAAAGTCTTCGGACCTGGTAGTCCCTACAAAGGCCCCGAATGTTAAGCCAGAACCACAAGAGGCAGACAACATGGCCGTATTCGATTTCGCAGAGTCTTCACCCGTGGAAGCAGTAGCTAACCCCCGAACGCGCATTACCGAGCTTGCAAAAGCGGCACGAAGCGCACGCCGTCACTCCACTGTCGCGAATACATCATCTACGACCGAAGACCACAATGCAGAAAAGGCTAGCGGCGCACTCCCCAGTCTGCATAAGCGCACGGGTAGCGGAACTACAAGAAGCACCAGCACTACAAATTCAGGCATTAAGAGTACCACGAACCTGGGCAAGAGCACATCCGCGTCTGGGAGACTGTCTGCAAAAGAGAAGATGGCTATTGCCCCACTTCCTCCCAGCGGAAGCAGTATTGATCTCCGCACAAAAGCTGAGGCTGCAGCCTCTGAGAAAGAAGCACAGCCCATGACAGCGAGAGAGACGAGTGCTCTGAGGGCCGAACGGGCCGCGAGTCGGAGAAAGAGCATGATGCTGTGAGAAGACATTTAAAGTAACATAATGTCGTTGTTTGGATATCAAGCGCGGTTTTGAATTGATGAAGGTCTTCTTTTTCTCTGGATGATTGTGTGCGTGTGTGTGTCGGTTTAACTTGGTTTGATCAATCATAGCGATGGCGTTTTAAAATGATACAACGATGCCAGGTTCGAGTCTTATGGGCAGGTATTCCGGGAGTGGTGGTAATTCGGACTTGGCAGCACTTTAGTACGGAGGTGGCTTTCAAAAGTTCTTGCTGACAGGGGTGTCTATATTACCGCCGTGATACCACCAAAGCTTAGACTACTCTATCGCGCCGCCCCTCCGTATACTTATTACCACCTTCTAGTCTAATAATCTACTAAACATAATACTATATACGCTCTATCTAAGCCTAGATTTAGTATTAAGGTAGCTTATCCTAAGCCTTTAACTATACTTTTGTACCCTCTACTCTACTCTTAAGAGCGCCCTTCCTAATAGTGCGTGGTAAAATACCTGTAACAAGGCTAGGCTAAAATAGCTAGCGCTTACTAGATGCCTAGGCTAGACTTGAACAAGGTTCATGGGTTGGCACTAGGGTCTAGCACTATTATCTGTTAAGATATATATATTATACTATGCGAGGATTACTTAGCTTAAGTATTCTCGTGCGTACCTTTTAGACCATGGCCAAGTGGTACAGGCAGGGGAGATGACGTAGTATTTATTTCACAGGCAGGGCGCCTACCTTGTTACAATACCTGTAATAGCACTAATTTAGGTAGTAGATTTGCCACTAAAAGGTAACTTTAGAGTTATAATAAGCGCACAGGTATAGGGATTAGTATTAGGAGCTATAGTAGAGTAAAAATACTAAAGGATTAAGTAGATAGACTATTACTACTACTATCTATAGCTTCAAAATTGAGTGTGTGTAGGCCAAGAAAGTAGGGCCGATAGATCAGCCGCTAACAAATACGCTAGCAAGAACTTTTGAAAGCCACCTCCGTACTTGGTAGCAAATAGAGATTTGCCAGGGAGAGCTTATGCCCTAGATTCCACGTATAAAGAAGGGCTCGTGTACATACCGTACTCCTTGGTACACAGATCTGCTATCCTTACCTTTGCCAGCATGAAATCACTTACGAGCTTTATTCTCCTTTGCCTTTCCAGCGCTTGTGCCAGTACATTGCGGCATGGTGTATGTTCTAGTTCATGTCTTCGTCATTTATACATGTCCATGGTGAACTAACACACTTTAGAAATGCGAGCTTCCATCAGCGTCCTTGGCTTATAAAGTACCTGAAGAAGGTGCTTGTCAATCCGATGATCCTACCGGCAATCATGGAATGAGATGTTCGCAAGCAAGTCTCCCTTATCTATAGGGCCTAACTGTAGCGGAAAATTCACACAAGAGATGATGCTAATAAAGGAGTAGACTTCGAAGTGCTCAAAGCCTGGCAATCCTTGTTCTTTCGAATTTCTTGATCAAAACACGCCTCCGGAGTATATATTAGGCCTTGCAGGTGCAACCTGCTCTTAATAAGGAACACTTGGTTGGCCCTTTACATTCTCGAATCCGTGGTAGAGAGTCGATTGTGAGTTTGGGAAAAGTGCATAGTTTGCTGCTGCTGCTACTGCTGCTACTGCTGCTATTATTCGCTTGTTTGCTTCATGGGAAGATGAACAGACTTGGATAAACATGAATCAAATCAAATCACAGATGAGAGATTAATTTTGTGGTTGATCCAGTGTGGTTATGAGGACCTCTTATTTGTGTTTAATATAACTTGGCTCAGCAAATCAATTAGATACATACCTGTTGCAAGTAATTTGGTTGTTATAAAGGGGGCTGCTAAATTTAATCAAATGTACGGGCTTATCTGTTTCCAATTTGATTTAGCGCAGTAAGCAAATCAACATAAAAGGTTGCAACTGTTCACCAGTCTGGTAGAAAAAAAATGCTTGATGAAACAGCTAAGATCGTTGACCGATGCCTCGTTCTGAGAATCAGCTGTTGAAGATGGGATGGACATGGCGGAATGGCTAACTACCATAGATATTCACTCCCTAGGTGATTTTTCGACGTCGGTACTCTGTGCACACAGATGGCGCTACAACATGCCTACTAAGAATTCCAACTCACTTACTCCAACATATGAAGATTCCAGCTTTCATCACCGAGCTAGCTCACCACCACAAGCAATACGTGGTCCTGCAACTCATCACGCATGCCGTCACTCGTCATTCACCCAAAACAGTCCCAAACCACCACTTACGGCTACCCGGCACCTTATCCTCCAGCGACGTTGCCCTACTCGCGCACATCGCATCACGAGACTGCCCGCCTAAGCAGCCAGGCCAAGCTCCCCCATTGACGTCACGCGGGCTGAAGAAAAGCGTTGCGTGTGCGGCCTCGCGGCCTGAGGAGTGAGTACGATGAGTGCGAGGCTGGGATTGGGTGTGGCTGTTTGTGGCGCGGGCACGGTCTTTGCCGGTTTACCGTTTTACCCGTTGTTTGAGGTGCAAAGCTGGCGGTGGGGCTCTAGGGACTAGGTGGTTTGGTCATGTGGGCTCCATGGGTTCTGTGGTGGGTTGGGCAAGGGAGGGCGTGGGGATGCTTATTGGGTGGGGAGGGCTGGGTTGAGGGTGTCTAGTGGAGTTTGTGGTGAAGGTGGGTTGATGGCTGATGGCTGATGTTGAACTACCTAGAAGCGGAGGATGGATAGATAGTCTTGTCGATGGCTTGGCGGGAAAGAAGAGGAAGAGGATATATATATGGTGGTTAGATCCACCTTTGTGGGGAGATTGTCGAGTACGAGATTATGAACAGTTGAGATCAGACACTGAAGACGAAGTTATAAAGATCAATTCCTACTGCTACGACAAACCCAACAAAAAGCAATACGTCCCAACCTATCATCACTTGATCTTCAGTATCAGTTTCAATATCCACACAGATGACAGGCCACCACGCAACCTCAATCTCAGCTCGAGAATTGTCCTCAAGACTTACCACACTCCACCAACAACAACAACAAACACAACAAACACTCTCTCCTCCATCCTCCTTCTGCAACAGCAGCAACAACGATAACAATAACAATGGAGACCCCTTCCCCCTCCCCCCAACCCACCGACGAGCCCGAACCTCCTCCTTCGACCTCCCCCTTCCCCCCTTCTCAAAGTCCTCAACCATGTCCACAACCAGCACAACCAGCACCACTGGCACCACCACCTCCGGCCTTTCCATCTTTCCCGCGCAGTCTGCCATGCCCTTGTCGAGCCGCGCGAGCGCGCAAGTGGGCGCGGGTGATTTCAGCAAGCCTCGGGTCCATCAGCGGAGTCGACGCGACAAGCAGGGGAGTAGGGGGCCATTGCCGGGCGATGAGGAAGAGACAGGGGGAATGCCGTTTAGGTACTATGGACGACACTCGAATCAGTGGTTGTTCAACGATTTTAGTATTGGAGATGCCGTGGGTAGGGGATTCAAGAGGGTATTTGGACGGGAGAAGGGCGAGGAGGACTGGCTGGAGAGGAGGGAAAAGTAGAGTTTGGGAGATTGTTGGTGGGTGGGAAAATGGTGAGGGTTGGGGGGATTGGCGAAGAGTAGGGAGGATACAATGGCTAGATAGAAGGGGCCGAATGATCGAGTACATTGTTGTCTTTGGGGAGCGATTGGTGAAAAGATACACATACAGTGACGTTTGTTTTGTGAACATTTTGTGCTTGTGTTGGAGAACGCCGTATGCCTGCGCCTGCATGGTTACGTGGGTATATGTCAAGATCAAAGAAACGCCTACCACATATGCTGGTGATGATCTGACTATGTCCCAGGAACACCGTCCTTTGTCCGTATCCTCCCTTCTCGTATCGACCCTATAGTCACACCAGCTTCGCCCGTCATCCAACCGGGCATCTTCTCACCATCTACAATGCCTTCTTCCACCAATTGCCGTATGCCAGCAAATACATGCGTACCCTGGAACGTGACACGCACGCTGGGCACCCAGCCTTCTTCATTTTGAATTTCCTCAAGGTCCTCAGCAGTCCTGTCCAGAAGAGAGGGCCTGCCACGACGGGAACGATTCGAGGTCTGCGCATCTTGATTCGATGTATTGCCGTCAATGTGAGCAAAGCTTTTGTTATTAAGGGCAGATGGGAACGGATCGTCTATGCGGACTTCTACCCGTTCTAAACCCTGACCGTCATTTGGTTTCCCAGAGTTCCCAAAACGCCCGGCCGCTACTTCTTTGCGTCGTTTAGCTTCTGAGGATTCCTTGTCATCCAATGGCCGCTTGGCTCGACCGGGTCCTGGTTTTGTATCATGCGTGGCACTCTTACTCGTCGCATTTTTCTCCTTCTCGTTGGCTTTTTGCGTAGTGATGAAGTCGAGCGCGTTTTGACTGAAGCTGTGGTCTTGGAAAATGCTCCAGCCTCCTGTTGCTGCATTGCTCTTACCAGACCCTCTGTAGGTCAAGAGGGCATCAAGCGATTTGGTTGTGAAGTTTGTAGTAGTGAGTTGGTACCGAGCTGACGGCCGAGAGAAAGCTTTGGGTATAGCCTGTTGCACGATATCTCGCAGGTGTCTTCCCTCATCACCCACCACTTGCCCTGTAAGTGTTGCTAGCGAAGAGTACACAAAAGGAGATCCATTTGGCCAGATGAAGAAGACGGCTTTGGCACTGTCTGTGCTATTTGACTCGACTGCTAGTGATGCTTCGTTGCTATATGGCGAGTCGTGTATGTACACGCGTAGTATGGTCATAGGTGTGGCCTTGATTCGTGTGATGAGGTAATGCGCCTTCATGAGCGGTGTCAACTCGCGCACTAGATTTGACATGAAGGTTTGTGCCTGGAATCGCGGTAGGTGGTCATAGTCGTTTGTGACTTCCATATCGGCAACGGCAGACCGCGAGTTGGGTATACGGGTCAGGCGCTTCGCAGTCCATCGCAATGCGTTTGGGTGATCGAGAAGGTATTGGATCTCTGCGGTTGCAAGCTGGTACATGGATATGCCCGTCCTCCAGTCGCCCTGCAATATGCGATCAAGAATCTCTTTTCGGCCACCCTTGCGTGCAGCCAGTTCTTTGTATATCTCCTGTAGTGCCTCGTAGCTCTGCGCTGGCGCATACAACTCCTCGTCCTCTTCTTCGTCCTCTTCTTCCTCTCCATGACCACGGCGATCGGCCAATAAGTAGGGCTTGCAGAAGTCGCGGTTCTTTTTGCTGAGCCATTGCTGGGCGAGGGATGCCAGGGATTGGCGCGAGAGCTTCGTAAAGGTGCGCTGGACTTCACGATGGGTGACGGGCAGGCGGTGAGAGTGGGGGATGTTCTTGTAGTCTGGGGCGGTCGCCATCATGTGCCACTTTTGCCGTCGTCTACATGAGGAGCCTTTAGTGGGCAGCGCAACGACGCATGGCCGTGTTCCTCATTTGTTATCGATAGTGCAATGGCGCGGTTTGGACGCGTCTGGGACTCTTTGGGACGGGAATGGGGGCACAATCATGTCTGCACGTGATTGTGACCCGTTCGAACATGGAAAGCGGGGGTCCCACCCAGAAACGGGGTCATCACGTGCCCCGCCTCTTCCACACCTGCATGCACTCAGCTTACTGTGCATGATCGGTAGACAACTGGTAGAGTAGTCCAGTGGTGGAGGAGAGCAGTAGTAGACTATAGTACACACTCCAGCAAGTGTACTCTACTCTTTGCGTCACACAACTGCCATGAGAATGGTACGCTAGTTCATCGCATTTACCCAGTAGCAAGCCCTGATGCAGGTCAGCGTTGATGCCTCGACCTGCCTGCTACTCTATAGAGTAGATAGAGTACACTCGATAAGATACTCTACTGGGCCCTGTAGTCAATGAACAGCCCCTCTCTAGAGTAGTCGTACGCTCTGATACAAGTCAACTCACATCACATCGCAACCTGCCAACCTCTCGTAGGACTCGTACAATTTGACAAGTCCACCCACTGCCGGCTGAAAGGCACAATGCTCATCCTTCATCGGCGGAAGAATCTCGGAAGGGCGAGGGTGAATGCTGATTGGTGCTGTGCCATCGGACACTATCTTTGATGACAAACCCTGACAAAGGAATGGCCGAAGACAAACTTCAAGACCACCACTCGGGGCGTAATTCACTCGACCCATCAGCAAAGGAACTCGAGCTGTCAGGACCAAGAACAACGGCAGTCAGCTGCAAACATCAGCACACCCGATTACTCAGAGCAATACCCCTCGCTCCTTTGCAGCAGATATTGGGACAGAAAGTGCGAGCATCTGCTGTCTTCACGAGCGCGTGGGGTGCAAGAGGCTCGGCATCGCATCTGCCTCTGTAATCGGCCAAGGCAGTTTTGGCGCGGGGTCTAATTCTTAAACGACCGTCCGAGATCCTCTCTTTGACCGAGTGGGAACGTCACCACTTTTTGCCCACACACGCACACCCACATTCGCCCACACCCACACCCACACTTGTCCACATCCACACCCCACATACCTTACCTACACCTCGAGCATTTGATGCAGCCAACACGTCTCTGAGCGGATTGCGACCTCCCAAAGGCCATCAACTCCCCATATCCTGCACTCTCTCAGGACCAGTCGATTAGCACAAGCACCGGATCGGGCCCACGTCTCTCAACATCCGGAGATCGCCGTGACGAAAACCCCTCGATAGACTGCAAATCTCCACAACGCCGACTTCCATCTCAAGGCGCACCTTTTTCCTGGCACTTCGAGGCTTCCGTCGTCGTCGTCGTCGTCGTTGCGAATGTCGGCCTACAAGGGACATCGCGGACCCAACGTGTCCCAGTACATTGCAGACCTGAATATGCTGTCGCCTACGCAAGATCTGCTCGCTGATCCAGTCCCTATCGAAGACGAGTTTTCCGTCTTTCTCAACGCAGACTTTTACGACGTCAACGGCCCTCTGAATCCCAGTATCGATTTCACATCTCCAGTCGATTTCAACGTCGACGTCGACTCTGCACCGGCCCAACCGCCGAAAACCGGCGTGTCTCCTACGCGACCATCGGAAAGCACTGGCGTCGAGCCTGTCATGGACTTCAGCTTGCAAGGTGAGTAATTCTCCGTAAGGAATGCCCTTTTGATGTCTGTTCTTTTCCTGGGTCTTTCCGTATCCTGGTTCATCGTCAACGGTCGTACAAATGCTTGCAAACCGCTCGTCCAATGGGCGGCTTGCATGGCGCATGAAAACCCCGCCTTGTACAGTGCAACCCCCACACTTGAGCTTTTGGCCACTTGTGATGCGGGATGCCACTGCAGCCTGTCGATGAGCATCACCATCCTCGTCCAGCACGCAATAGTCCAGCCCGTGTATTGCCCTATACCGGCGCATACTGTATCCAGAGCTCTTCATCATTTGGCCGTTGCCGCTACCCTCATACTGTAGCCATGTCTGACTTTGACCTCTTTTCAGGCGACTTCTCCTTCACCGACTTCAACAGCTTCGGCGCAAGCACATTGCTTGACCCATCCCTACCTGGCTTGCCTCAACCACAGCCAGCAGACTACTCTCTGCCACCTACATATGATTCATCGACTTCGTCAATCCCTGCACTCGGTCACGATTTCGACTCGAGTCTGAAGAAGCGCAGGCTGGATGACGATATCCCGGAGCACTTGGATGCGAATGCCCGCCTCGCCGCCGAAGAAGACAAGCGACGCCGTAACACCGCCGCCAGTGCCCGTTTCCGTGTGAAGAAGAAGCAGCGCGAGCAAGCACTCGAGAAGACTGCCAAGGACATGTCCGACAAGGTCAACATTCTCGAGACGAGGATCCAGCAGCTCGAGACAGAAAATGCATGGCTCAAGGGCCTAATCACAGAGAAGAACAGTGGTAAGAGCTCATCTGAGCTCATCGCTCGTCTAAGTAAGCACGAGGAGCATGCCAGTGGACGGAGTAGCAGCACGCACACGGACGGTGTTGGCACCAGGGCTGAGTGCTCAAAGGTGGCCGCCTAAAAGAAGAGTTTTCAAATTTTTATTTCAAATACAGTGTCCTTGTCTGATCTAATCTAACAAGTCTTGTTGTTTCCATGTCTGCATTGTAGATGACGGCAGTGTCTAATGTATGGGTGACGGGACTTTGGACGGCGCAGTTGTGGACTTTGTGTAGATACCAAACTTTCAATCGCGACTAGAACATGAAATCCTAGTTCTTCCTCCCTTCTGCTATTGTGTTGTCCCCTTTTGTCATGATCCAAGTTGAGGCAGTGCTACAAGCAGAAAGATGAGAAAGTCGAGACGTTACTACCTAGCCCAGGCCCTAGGACAAACAAGATTCACCTAGTCTTTCTTTCTTGTGTTCATCTCATTCCCTACAAGGTTTTTAGTCTTTGTATGTTTGTCGGGTCATGTGGTCCATGGCACTGTGGTGCCAGTCAGGTGAATGATAACCCGGGGAGAATCATGGCGAGAAATGGGGGAGGCGGGGGAGAGATAGGTTTAGATGATGAAGGATGAAGGGGTAGCAGGGGTTTTGGGGGGTGGGTTGCTGTTTTCATTTGTAGTAGTTATAATGGTCATAGAAAGGACACGATTTTCTCTACCCACTTATCATAGAAGCTGGCAATGTATTCACATGTTTTAGTAGTGCACAAATGAAGAAGAAAAACTAGGTATCGCATTTTCGGCTTCACCGACAAGGACTCCATGCTAGACTTATGCACATATATCGGATCTCACGCCGACACTACTATTATCACTTGCATCACCGCTGCTTCGCACAGACAGACAGACAGACACACTCCCTCTCTCACCCTCTCCCCGCCTCCCTTGTACACGATTGCTCTTCTCATATTTATAGGGCAATCCAGGTAATGGTAATCACAATATCCATGCCCTTCTTCTCTGCTGCCTCCCACTTGTAGCTGTATGTGCCGTCCTTTTCGTTATTCCAAAAGGCACCCACGGCGCTGTGCATGCCGCGACGGCCGTGCTTCTCGGGTTCTGAGGGCGAGCCAATATGCTGGATGATGGTGCTGTTGGCAATGTATTTATAGGCAGGTTGGGCGGGTTCAGAGGGGGTGTTGGAGTCGGCGGGGGGCGAGGTTTTGCTGATCAGGGATTGAAGCATCGTTTGCTGCGTCCGACATTATTAATCATAAGAGCGAAAAAAAAACCAGTGTTTCTGGTCGCGTGCGCCGCATGTGGGAATGCGAGCCAGGAGAAGATGATGTGTGGGCTTACGATGATAGTGGTGTTCCATTCTGCGACTTTGGAGTGGTCGTATGCTTCAGCTGCGCCGATGGCTTGCTCGCAGGCCTGTAACAGGTTTGTTAATATACATTCCTGTAGTTCCAATTCGGGGAATGCATACGCTGCTAGCGATTTGCTCGAGCTCAGATGTTGGGAGCGGTGACGCGGTCTGCACATGGTGAGTAAACGCTGACTGTGACAACGGGTATATGGCAAGTACTGACGGCAGCCATTGTAATGTAGCGATAGGGATGGAGTCAAGGTGTTGGGGGTGAGGGCTGGATTATATCACGCTACGTGGTGTCGTGGGGAGAATCGGGTGAGGCTTTGGACAAATGTCTGTTGGTGTTTACGCTGTATGTTTGCCAGGGCCCAAGCGCCCGTCGGTGCGTGGACGACTTAAACTTCAAAGAGACGGGGGGGGGGGGAAGACGGGGAGTGAGCCAGCCAGTCAGACATCAGTTAGACATCAGCCACATGTCAGCCATGCAAACACATCCACGAGCCACATTCCAGCCACACACTCACACAAGACCACACATCGGCCAAGACACTCCCGTTGTGCTAAACGGCGTGACATCCGCATCACGTGGGTGCCCTGATTGGCCGCGCTGCGTCAACGCTTCTTTGCGCGCTGTGAGAGAGCTTCGTCTCTACAAACAGAGGATTTGAGTTTTTGTGTATCTTCGTCAACAAAATCTCTCCAAGACTACCTGTGCAGATCTTCTGTCTGGAGCCATACCAAGGCACCAAGGAATCGCAACACCAGCAGGCGCTTCTTGTACACACGCCAGTTGGGGTGGAATACCGACACCATCATCATCACCATGTCCAGCCAGCCTCTCCTCCAGACTGCCCCAGGTATGTTGAAGCTCCCCACCTTCACCCGCAAGAACGCGCCTGTATTTCCCAATCCACACGCGTCCCATTAGCTAACATCATCACCATAGGCAAGCGCATCGCCTTGCCCACGCGCGTCGAGCCCAAGGTCTTCTTCGCCAACGAGCGGACCTTCCTCTCATGGCTCAATTTCACTGTCATCCTCGGCGGCCTAGCCATCGGCCTTCTCAACTTCGGCGACGGCATTGGCAAGATCTCCGCTGGCCTCTTCACCCTCGTTGCCATGATGGCTATGCTCTATGCGCTCTTCACTTTCCACTGGCGCGCGAGGAGTATAAGGATGCGTGGTCAGGGTGGCTTCGACGACAGGCTCGGCCCGACCATCTTGACGATTGCCCTCTTCTGCGCCGTTGTAATCAACTTTGTGCTGAGGTTGACGGTCGGAAGCGAGAAGAAATAAGATAAATGGACCACCAATACAAGGGACACGGACGGTGGACATGTGGTCCACAAATGCACATAGCAAAACGGATCAGAATACAAAAACTTGGGGGAGTTGGAGTCAATAACGTAGCCGCATCAGGCTTGTGTTCATATCGCTATTATCACATGTTTCCAATGGACTCTTCTATCAGCTATTCCAATACCACTTGTTGCACCACTACGTGATACAAAAATCAAAGGACGCAGCTTTAATCAAAGGACGAAGGCATCACACACCTCGCAGATTTCCGTTTCAAAGTCGAGTGGTGAGCTGCGACTAGGCGCCATAGGCGCAGTGTTGCAACTTCCACACCATTCCTAATACCTAACGCCATGTGACCTACAAAGGGCAATCCCCTAGAACCGCGGCGTAGACGGACCGATCAGCACCGGCAATGCAATAAACCAGCACTTCCTCAAGAAAGCCGCCCCCGCATTCCGTCATACCAGCTATGCTAAAAAAACTGGCGCCTCGTCGGATAGTGAATGCGGTGTGTATGCAGTGCATTGTTTCACTACATGATCATAAGGCTGATGGCTCCCAGGTTTTTCCTTCCTGCCACCTCCGGTGACTGACTACAGGCGGTCAAGTCGGATGGTGTCCCACTCCTCTTCGAATCGGATGCTCTACCGAGCAGCTTTTGCGTACTCGGATGTGTCAGCTTTATGGTTCAGTGGCATTATGGCTAGCAAAATATGAATCTTAGTCACTAGGCTTCATCTTACAGCACATCAATCGGATCAACGGTAGCGAATGGTATGCAAAGACTCCATTCCCACTATGTGCAAGAAGGCAACGATGTGGCTAGGACATGATGTCTAACGAGTCGCCCTTGCTTGTGGATCAAGATGTTGTTCTAGCCACCCAAGTTCAATCGAAGCACATGATTAAAACTCACTCGATTTAATGTCAGCACTGCACTGACCGAGTTGGCCAACGAGGCATTTCGGGTGGTACGGGCCGGTTCAGCTTTAGTATGCTTGTTGTCTGGGAGCATGACCTCTCCAAGCGGCCTATGACTCCTGAATGACGGTGCTATGAAATATCGAAGCAAGATGAAACATAGCACACAATTGACGCTTGCTTGGAAGTGCGGATAGTCGACACGGAACTTCTGCAACCTCGGGCTCATGTAGAAGTCCTACGCAATTTCTGGGCTGTTGTAGAGTAACTCTAAGAGTGCATCAATCTGCCCTGCGTGTACTGATATGACTCTCCAGGCGGCTCTATTGCAACACAACGGCACTGGAGTGAGGGCACGATCTGAGAACTCGTGTTGAAAAGATGCGCACCGCTACGACGACTTCGCCATCATATTTCCGTCGCCCATTGGAATGCTCCGTTCAGGCGCAATTCTCCCCATCAGGTCATTTCTCTGAAAATGCGGCACGAGGCCCTCTATGTTCTGCATACAGATCCATTCGCAGTACATGACACGCCTACTGTACACTAGATTTCACATTGATACCGATTGTCCTTAGGCTAGCACTTACCGACGTTTACGACGTGGACCCAAAATAAGCCAGTAACGAGGTCAGTTACACAAGGCGTCTCGCAAAACGGGTCATTGCCTTCATGGGGTAGACTATGCAATCTTTAATTTTTCTGCATCAAGAGTATTACACTCTACCCACTCAATTCACTTGAAATTGATCATGTTGCTGAAACCCAAGCTTCCGCCATAGCCAGGCCGCTAATCAAGCAACGCTCAGCCGACTGATGACATTAGGGCAAAGCACTGCAAAAAAACACCAAACAGCCCAATTCTGCGTGGTCTCAGCGCCAGAGTCTAGTAAATCAGAGAGAATAGAGTATCGTAAACCATACAGCCAGGATTGACTCGGCAGACCTATGCTTCTACGCTCAGAATCAGGTATCGCTAGTTACCACCCGCAATTGTGATCCCGGCCTTCGTCACGAAGTCTTGCAAATCCCATCCACATGCTTTCTAGACCTTCTCCATTTGAATGTAATTGAGAAGATCGCTGAAACCTGGGGTTCGTGCAAGGCGATCAATAACCATTGAGCCAATCAGCCTCACTGTTGTTTCCACGGAACAACGGCCAACATCACTGAGCGGGTATTGACAGGGCTCCTGTCGGAAGTGTTGAGTTCTGATCCGAGAGAAAAATGAAGGGAGCTTTGACCTCGATGGTGATGAAGCACTTCTCTGACTGTTCGGCGCGGCACAAGCTAATAACGGTGACAGGGGAAGGGCATGACCATGATCAAATAGAAGAGCATAAAGACCGCGACATGGAAGCTTTCTATCTGACTCTCATTAGCAGACATTCACATATATCCTCTTCAACATCTACAGCAATATTTCAGTTGCATCTAGTCTTCATCATGTTGGCCAAATCTAGCTTCTTTGTCGGTCTTGTGGCCCTCACTTCCGCCAACCCCATTTCACTGCCGCTCGAGAAGGCAGTAACACCCGTACGGCGTGAAGTTGCATCGCTTTGCGCTCAATACGCTTATTTCGCTGCCAATGGTTATGAATTCAACAACAATCTCTGGGGCAAGAGCGTTGCCACCTCCGGTACGCAGTGCACCTACGTGCAAAGCACCTCCCCTTCCGGCGTTGCATGGTATAGTACCTGGACCTGGGCTGGAAGTCCAGACGACGTCAAAAGCTACGTCAATGCCGGCAAGCAATTTGCCACAGGCCTCAAGATTAGCAACATCAAGAGTATGCCCACGGCGATCCAGTGGAACTACGATCAAACCACCAACGTCCGCGCCAATGTTGCTTACGATGTGTTTACCGCCCAGGACCCAAACCATGACAAGAGTAGTGGAGACTACGAACTCATGGTCTGGTAAGAGAATCCCCGTGATCCTATCCTCTACATTCTCCTATCCACAAGAACGATTTGACGCTGACTTGGCAACAGGCTTGCGCGCATTGGAGGCGTCTACCCCATTGGCAGCAAGATAGCTTCTGTCAACGTCGCGGGCTACGGCTGGGATCTTTACTACGGTCTCAATGGTTCCATGAAGGTCTACAGTTTTCTTCCCGCCAATGGGGCGTGGTATAGTAGCTTCAATGCCGATGTCAAGGCGTTTTACAACTACTTGAGCAGCAACCAGGGGTTCCCGGCTAGCACCCAAAACCTGATTGGTGAGTTTTGCCCTTCTTCTTCAGAGCCGCCATTGAATTGGCATACTATGATCAAAGGGGCAAAAGGAAGCTGATGGTGCGAATAGTCTTCCAGCAAGGCACCGAGGCTTTCACCGGCGGACCCGCAAAGTTCTCTGTCACAAGCTACAGCGCGGACATCAACACTTGAATGAGCTGGCAATGGCTGTCTTCTGATCATTGAGACATGACCACGAGGGGGGTCAAAAGGTTTAGGGTCTACGCTACTCAGTGCCTAGTCCAAATATCTGAATCTCAACTTGAACTGGGGTATTTAAGGCGGACAAACTCTCCATACTGGAGAATTTCTTTTTCACGACACTTATTGTACATATGTCACCCCAGATTGAATAGGCTGTATATACTAGTACCTTGGAGGAATATTAGGACTCTCGTTACTAATGGGCAATGTTACACATTTACACACACACACACACACACACACACACACACACCTAATACCCACACAATCTTCATATTTCCAGAAGATATCTCCCTTAACATCGTACCAAACTCCACAGCGCACAAGACAACGTGGCGGGCCGGTGACTCGAAAAAAAGGCGCTCCCCCTCCCTATTCTCACCAAGGGCGTGCGCCAACTGGCTGTTCCTCAAACAGCTGTACGACACCACATTGATTGCATGGGGCATAGATTGGTTGGCTGGTACCATGCATCTGAACCAGCTGTCGATGGTCACAGCATCTCGCCACAGCCCAGTTCGGTGCTGTGCGCTGGAAGCCCCCCTGTCGACGGGTCTAACGTGAGCGTTTTACATGGCTATGCTTTTTGGAAACGACTTGCATGACATGACGTTTGTGTGGGGGGATTATAGCTAGTTGGAGTGGTCATGAGGCACACGCAAACACAAAACGCCGTATCTCAGAACACTTCTCCGAGGCAGGAGCACCAGACTCTCCTCTCCTTTCCACGCAGCCGGCTAGTTCCACATATGCCCCCGCCAACCGGCGTCCTTTAGATACGGATAGATCATATAGATCATACGTTAAGCGCCACTGCTTCCCCCATATACGTGACAAGACCTGCGCCCCCAGCCCCCTTCTTTTCCCCAGTACCAACACCAACACCCCTCCCGGTGTAACACTCCAAGACTCCATGCACAGACAGACGCACCTACATTGCAAAAGAAGAAAAACCCCCTAAACCAACAACAAACCCACACCCCTTCAGACCATGGTCCTGCCCTGCCATCAACAACACTGGCACTGGCTAATACTATAACTAAACCCCATGTCACACGGGAGAGCGGGATGCTGAGCGAGGGGCGTCCTAGTCCTCTCCCCCACGCCACTTCTCCTCAATCCATACCGTACCGTACGTAGTACGCAGAATCTCTCTAGTCTGCTCACCGCTCGTGCGCTACTACTGGCAGCCACACGCCCCAGACCCCAAGATGACATGACGAACAAGCAGTCTTGGATTTGACGTCCGATGTGCGATCTGTGATGTGCATGTGCCGCTGCATGCGCCGTTGCATATCCCTCTGCATGCGCATGTGCCTCTACTTGATGACTGAAAACGCCGCAGTGATGGCGGCTTTTTAATCCGAACCCCAGGCCCGGTGGACAGGCTCAAGTAGGATGGTACCATGTAGGGCATTGCATCGGTCGGGTGGTCTCGTGCCGTGGGTTAGATGTTGGCCGAATTGCTCTATTCTGACGGGTGTGTGTGTGCGGATGGCCAAGGCAGCGCAGTGCAGTTAAGAGTCTGGTGTTGTGGAAAGGGCAAAAAAGGGAGGTGTGCCTTTACTGCTCTTGCTATAGATGTAGAGTAGCGAGAATTGTCTACGAGGTGTTGCTCTTGACGAAGTATGTAGGTATAAGAGGAGATTCTGGAAGAACAGGGCAGTGCTTGGCGTTGGTTGAGGCAGAGTACATACCGGTAGATATGGGGGTCCACGATGAGCCTTCCCGTGCAGGAGGAGATTGCCACTGGGGGAGCACGGCACCACGATCATATCTGTCTGCACCGTCAACACATGCACACACAAACACACACGCGTATCTGCCTGGCAGAATGACTAGTTGTATTAAAAAAAGAACAATCATAGATTTCCACCAAAAAGAAACTCAGTACTTTGAACCGACCAAAGTCGGAAATGATATGAATACCCCACAGTGTGGAAAGCTGGGGGTTAACGGGTGAACCCGCACCACCTCCCACCAGGTCGGGCCTTTATTCCCAAACTCATGTTATCTCACAAAAATCAGGCCCGTGGTATCTCCCGAAACGCCGTGACACAATGCAATCCTACCCGTGCTGTCGTGCCAGTGTACCCTAGTATGGAGCTCGCTAATAGACATTACCTCGATTACATTTACACTTTCATCATCCAACATTTCAAAAGTCGTTCTACTGACTTAGCTTGGTGTACGTGTATGCACTCGTTCAATCGCCAAACTATCTGGCCTTGGTACAAGACCGCCAGGCCAACTGACTCGCTCCCTATGCTCTACATAGGGAAGCTGGCCATTTTCCTTGGGCGAATTCGGCCGGTTCCTGCCTTTAGCCCCTCTTTTTGATTTCCGGGAAATGGTATTTTCTCTTCTCTTCTCTTCCGCCTTCGATTCTCGTCTTGCGTATTCGTCGCGCACAGGGTCTGAGAGTGCTTGTGCTGCTGGCACAAGGTTGAGCCATAGGGGATACAGTGCACCAGCAGCGTAGGCTGCTGTGATAACAACGAAGGCGTATTGTGCATTGTGAATCTTGAGTGCAGCAACCATGATGGGTGGAAAGACGGCTCCTCCACCAATGGCAGAGGTGAGCAGAACCGAAGCATACTTGGTGTGCTTGCCCATGCCACGAATACCTTGGGCAAAAATCAGCGGAAAGAGCGGTCCCTCGAAGAACATGGCCATGACAATCATGGCTGCAGCAGGAGCACCGGTAGCATGCATTGCTGCCACCGAGAAAGCAATCGCTCCAACGAAGAAGAACAAAAGAGTATGCCGAGGCTTGATCCAGATATCCATGGCGGCAGCCATGAAGCGGGAGGCGGCAAAGGCTGTATGACCGTACGCCTGATGAGCGACGAGATCGATGTGTGGTGCAACCCGTGCGTTGTATTCAGAAAAGGAAGTTGACGTAGCTTCCTGACCACCAACATAGCAGAACTGTGCGAAGACTGCCATTGCGAGGCTTATCCACATCACTTTGGCAGATCTGGAGCCAAATCTCACCGTAGCCTCACGAGCAACAGGCACAGTACGCTGGCTGGCTTCTTCGAGTTCTTGCTCGGTGGCTTCGGGTAACGGCACAAAAAAGTAGATGATGGCGAGGCAGATGTTGAAGAAAGAAATGCCCAAGTAGGTCCATTGGACATCGATGAGACTTTCCGCATTGGCTGGGAACAAGACCTTCTTTGCTAGGAGGGGAGAGATGATGGTGCCGATAGCCTGTACACCTTGGGAAAGGTTTAGGCGTACTTCTGCGTACTCGGGAGGTCCACAAAGAGCAATGAACGGGTTGGCGCCAAGCTCGAGAATCGAGAGTCCGGCGCCTGTGATGAAGTTGGAGATGAGGAATGCTGGAAAAGAGTTGAGAACGGCCGATGGCCAGAAGATCAAGGCGCCGCACGCATAGACGGAAAGGCCAACCATGTAACAAGCTTTGAAGCCCCAAGTCTTGAACACAAGGTGTCCGAATGTCAACGGTCCGACAATGTACCCAAGGTAATACGCACTGTGCTGGCCCACAGTTTCCCAATCGCTCATCTTAGCCACTTCTTGGAAGCGTGAATTGAGAACGTCTAGAAATCCATATGCGAACCCCCATACGAAGAAGAGTATGGTGACCATGAGTACTGGATAGAGAGCTTCGCGATTGGTCTGAAGCGTCATATTCTTCCGTCGGCCGGTATCCACAAAGTCGAAGAAGGTCATAGGGTGAGGACAAGTAGGGGTCGTTGTTGCGTACGTTACAGCCGTAGGCGAGGGCCTCAACTGGGACAATCCGTTCATGTCAGGTGTAGTGAGGAAATCGACGATGCCCACTTGGTCGTCACCAACACTTCCACGAAGAGGTTTGCTACGGGGAGATGCAGGGGGTGTTAGAGGGTCAGAGCGCCGCCGCGAATCGAGAATGTCGGGGTGTAGGACCGGCTCCTCACTTGTCCATGTGGCTGTGACGTCGCGCATAGTAGGGTCGAGCACCCAACCTGGGAGGAACCTTCTCACCAACGGCTTCAGTGCTGGCACGCAGGCGCACATGATACCCAGATTGATTTCGACGGCGCTCCACATGAATGACAAGGATGCAAACCAGGCAAGATTGCCCGTATTCCTTTGCTCGTTGCCAGTGCCCGATCGTTGCGTCTTAGCCGCTTCGAGAGTATCCCGTTGGGCATCCTGAAGGTAGGCAATGCGAACCACATCGACCACGGCGACAAAGATACCAAAGCCGAACGTGATGACCAGAATGATTTTCTGCTTTTTCGGCAATCGCATGCTGGTGAGTATGGGCATGGGCAAGAATAGAATGGCCAAGTCGGTGATGATGTTTAGAGGCGCGGAGGAAAGATATACGGTCACAATGTTGGTGCAATGTGCCGAGTCTGGTACTGGCGAGGCCCAGGCCGCAGCGATGGGCCTGCATTGGAGGAGGTTGAGGATGGTCAGTGCCAGGCCGCCGACGTTGACCAGGACAAGGGTCGAGATGTTGGCCCATCGAAATACTTTGTGTGTCTTTGACAAGGTCAGGTAGAAGAGGAGGATGGATGTCTTGGTGGCCATGAGGGCTGGATTCTAGAGCCAAAAGACATTAGCCATCTGTGCGGGCATTTTCCTAGGCAGTAGGTGGCCATGAGAGTACTACTGGACTTACATAGAGGACGGAGAAGGCGTAGGACGACTGCTTCATGGGAGTAAGCCATTCCGAGGGTATGTTCTCCTCTCGTCTACCCAGGCCCTTGGTGGTGCCATAGCAAATAGACAGGGATGCGCCCAATGCAAGTACCCATGCGACTATCATGGTGTAGTCGTCCCATCCTGGCTTCCGAACAATGGCAAATCGCGAGGTCAGACGAAAGGCGACGAAAAGCGAGCACAGGGCCAGAGTGGCGGCTGTGACGCCCAAGACTACAGGTGCTCGTGTGGGGAAGTGGCCATCGGGGCTAGATGTCGCCATCTCTTGCGTCGCGTGAAGTCTTGATTACCGATGACCATGGTCCATGCAACGAGCGCGCAAAAAAAATAAATTAAAAAAAAAGTTGACTGGGGTGCGGACTGCTGTGAACTGCTGCGTGTGACGTGCTGTGGGCTGCCGTGAGACCGAGCCAGGCTTCTGCTATCGCGGTCGTCGTCGTCGTCGTCGTCGTCTCGAGATGCGATGTCGAGGCAAGGACGTCATGTGGCACAAGCCTGTAATGTACAGTATGTGTGGTACCTAGTGATGCGGAAGGCTAGCAGCGCGCGCGATGTAAACGGTGTTGTTCCTCAGGCGGAGCCAGAGCCAACCCAGGGCGAGTGACGATGCGCGATGATGTGAGAGTGCGGTGGGAAAGGGCGTACAGAGCAGATGCGGCACTGGAGGAAGTTGAGTTCGCATAGCCGGGGCGGCGCTGTAGTAAAAAGTCGATGTGGGGGACTACCGGTACCTATCGGCAGACTACCGACATGAGACCCGCGGAGACTTGGGCTGGTTATGGAAGACTGGTGGGTACCGGTAGAGTAAGAGTAGTATAGTAGTAGTCCATGTACTGGGTAGAGTAATGGGAGACTGCCGGTATGGGAGGCTAGGGGGGGGGAACCAAAGTATGTACAGGATTGCAACAGTAGTAGGCAACGAGTAAGTAGTCCCGGTACCGGTATGGCGAACTAAGAGTAGTACTCTAGTAAGTAGTAGGGAGAACATGGGGGAAAACGCAGTGTTGGGTCTCTGGCAGAAAAGCGCCGCCGTCTCGACTTCGGCTCGACTGGATTGCCCGCAGCCTCTTCACCGCCCTCGTATCCTTGACGTTTGCACCCACTTCCTCCACCCCACCACTACGCCACCTGTACGCGTTTCCTCTTGGGACCCGCTCATCGCGAACAAGACGACAGCTCGAATGCGACCCCCTCTTCCCTCTCCCTGCGCATTGCCAATCCAGCATGGATGACGCGCACAGTACTTGCAGGCACGCTGTGTTATGTAGCACCTACTCTAGTCGTGTGTACTCCTACCATGTACTTGTGTACTACTAGGTAGCGGGCGGGGTTTCCCATGGCTGAACCCCAGTCGTTTCCCCATCTTTCGGTCGTCAATAACGAAGGCTTTGACCCTCGACTATTTGCCGCGCAAGACCCGAACCTTGGAGATTACCAATAACCCCACACCGTTTCTCTTTGGTCATGTCCATGGCGGATCCCGCTGGAGAGACAGAAAGAGAAAGAGAGAGAGAGTGAGAGCTACGAGGGGTGCGGCTGAGGGACTCGTACCCGTAGCTAATGGCAAGCTCAGATCTGTGATCACTGTGAAAATCTCGGCCCCAAACAAAGCGAAGTCGAACCAATCGAGCCCTGGAGGTCTCCAGTCACCCATGCCAAAGCTTGGCTGACTCCCAAAACTGCCGACATGACTCCCACTGCTCTTCCGAGCTCGTGCCCTGTCTTCTGCGCACTGGCACTCTGGATTCTGCGGTGCTCATGCGTCTAACGTGTATATGCACAGTACATACTATACTAATCAGGGCCATCCTTGATGATAACCTCTTCCTGCATCTTTGAAGCCTCCCAAAAGATCATGTCTTCTCTCTCCATCTTAGGTATCCTTTGAAGTCTTGATCATGTTTCCCTGACGTCACTCTTGCAGCACATCTCATTCCTACCTACCTTACCATGTATGTAAAGATAGATAATCACTCAAGATTCCAGGGCAATGTTGAAAATTGAGGTGGTGCCTATAGTCATGAGGGATATACTAAATCGCCCCTCAGATGCAAAAATTGAGTCATCAGTCTTGACCACCGTGATATGCCAAAGTTCTGATCTGGCGCCATGAAAGCGGCCTCATTGGAACCCGCTCCGGTGCCTTGCCCTTGTATCAATACACACAGCTCCATATACTCTTCCTGAGTAATATATTGCACTGCCACCGTTCGAATGAAGAACCAAAGCGACTCTTGCTCTGCTTGAAGTTTGATTGTGTATATCATGACATCTCTCAACGTGTCGTAGACTTTCTTGGCATTCTCTGACCCGGAGAGAAGGACGAGGAGAAACGTCCACCCAGAGATATCGCTTGGATTTCTGCAGCACCACTCTTTCAAGACATCAATAAAGTCCTCTTCCCTTGCGGACACCATCCTTGGCTTGAGTCTCCGGGCATACTGCCAAGCATAATAGTTCTTGGGATGGCGCTCTCCCGATTTGCAAACAGTAGCCAGCTCGGCACGCCAAAAATCGACACACTGACTGTCGTCCGCATTTCCCAGCTCAATTGTAGAAAGCGGATTCATAACCCATAGTCGGTGGTACCATAGGGTCGGTGATTTGGTCTGTCGGTGTAGGGGCGATGTGAGGATGGTGTTTAAAAACTTCTGTTCTTGACGTAGGGCCGTGTGAAAGGCCGATCCAAACTGGGAGCCAGTCTCAGCTTTCAGCCTGTTCAGCCAGTGCTTACGGTAATTCGCGGCTGTAAGGTGCTCTGGGTCAAAGAGGAGCATGATCTTGGTTGCCTGCAACGCCATCGAAGTGTAGTCATTGTAACCCTTGCTGTCGAAGAAGCGTCGTCTAGCTTCTAGGTAAGCCAATGCTAAGGCTTTCTTTGGAATACCCAAGTTCAAGCCATCCTGTAACGAAACTCCATCTCGAGGCTGGATGGCAGGAGGCAGGATTTCAACTTCGCATACATCATCTGCGTGCTTTTGGAAGAAGTCCGATATTCTTTCGTAAGCTAGGACTTGCAGTGTTTCTCTCGATGGCTTTTCGTTATCCACCTTAGTCATCTGTATCAATGTTATTTTTTATGTATAACTTGGTGGAGAAGTCAGTACCAAGAGTGAGCCACAGGAGACAGTGGGTGATGGCATATGGCGCTTGGGCCTCATTGGCTAGCATTCTACGCGCGGTTCCATGACATCGCGTTGTCGTCCCCTCTTCAAAACCACCATAATGCGGAAAAGATAATCAGAGCAACGATACTCCTCACCTTTGCGCAGTCATGCCTTCTCTTCTTCTCGTTGTATTCATCTTGCAGCTTGTGCTTTACATCATCAACACGGTCGGCGCCAGCACAGTCAATGATCTGGTACGCCCCGCTCCCACGACACTTTGACACGCAAGCACCACGTACTGATCATTTCACAGCTATGGATACTCTACAATAAGCTTCCAACGCCTACTTCTGGCTCAGCACAGAAGGTACAGAAACTCAAGAGGGAGATTGTACAGTTGAAGCGCGAGCTGGGAAATACATCGCCACAAGACAACTTCTCCAAATGGGCCAAGCTTGACCGCCAACACAACAAGGCGGTAGCCGAATATCAGAAGCTAGGCATGTCATATTGCGACTCCTGATGGGGTCCTTGGACTCCTCTGTACATCCACAGAGGCTAACATGCTGCCTTTAGACGCCTCCCTTCGCACACACCAGACAACTTTCACCTCTGCGGTCTCGACCTTACGATGGATTGGCACACAGGGGCTCCGCTTCGCCCTACAATTCTGGTTCGCCAAGTCGCCCATGTTTTGGATACCCACGGGCTGGGTACCATACTATGCTGAGTGGATATTAAGCTTTCCACGCGCGCCTTTGGGAAGCGTGAGCATAAACATCTGGGGTATTGCATGCGCAAGCATGATAAAGCTGATGGCTGACGCTTTGACCGCGACATGGGTACTGGTCATGCATAGGCCGACTCCGTTGGCAGCGGAGAAGCAGCGAGGAAAGCAGGAGGCTATGGCATTCGAGGCAGACCAGAGGCCGGCTGAGAAGAAGGAACTCTAGATTGCCTTGCGCATAAAGGATAGAGGACGAGTCCAGTTTGTCCTCGACAGGACCACGCCTTGTTCAATTAAAGGCGTGGCTGAATACAAAAACTTTGTCTCCCAACAATTAGACGCAAAGTCGTCGTGGCTTTCGCTCAGACACTGCAACACGAGTGGGATGACCTTGGCAGGTCGTAGGGCTTTTTCTAGGCTACAAATTTGAACTCGTGACCGTGGAGAGTAACGTGTCGCCGAGTCTTCGAAAGTGCCATTCCATCGCAAGCAAAATTCTTCTAACCGCGCTACTATGTCCTGTTGTACGCAGTGCATCAGTCTGAGAACAGCTGCCATTAAGCTGCTCAGGATGTGCACTACACTGCGTACTGCATGCGACCTGTACGTGGTTGTTGATGGGGATGTGGATTACGAAAAGAAAATTCAAAGGAAGGGCGAAGCTTATGCCGGGCCCGGACCAACGATATTCCGTAGCGCCCCTTCGAGCAGCTCCACGCCAATGAAGGCTGTTGGGAATGGCTTTGCAGCGTCCACACCAAAGTCGAAACGTGTGTAGAGTAGTATCGCATCAACACGTGTCAATATCATCGCCTATGTTGTTTCAAGTTGAGTAGGATGATATGTCGGGCTCCAAGTCCTGTCATCGTCCAGTGCACCTGGTTTTCCAGCTTTGGGGCCTTTTTGATGTTACGCCGTATGAGCATGCATTGCGAAATGCAACCGTTACCGGTATACGCCACAACTCTGGTGATTAGGACGCAGAACTAGGAGCTTGACCCTAAATCCAGATCCCAGTCGGTAGGTATGAATGTCAAACTTGAGCCTTTCGCCCTAGGAGCGCCTTTGCAACCTTGAGTCGTATGAAATGGCCTGAGCACAAACAATACCTCCACACAAAAAACTATGTGCATTAAACATGGGAGGACTTGAGATGAAAAGAGCGGCTCTCTGCGGAGATTTCGATAGAGCAACAGGGAATTTGCAACGGGACACACATGGCATACCAAACGCACAACGACCAATGCTGCTGCTAGTATGACATTATCCGTCTGATAGACATGCCGAGAGTCGAAATGACGTAGACTTGCGAGAGGATATGACAGCCATGCAATTCTCACGCAAAGAATGCATCAATTTACAATACAAGGAGGAATTAAATATATTTCATGATCTCATAAGCCCGAGCACTTCAAGCTAGACCAAACCGAATCACTATTGCGAAAAGAACGTGCCGAACAACAAACCATTAGTAGGCCCGATAGCCATCAATCGCTTCATGTCCTCCGCATCACCGCCTGGATGGAGACTGTGCTTATGCCTTGGCGGATGTGTTGCCCTTGGGACCCAAGATGTCATCGACAAGACCAGTCAAGATCTGTCTAACCATACCCGAGCCCTTCTCAAGGGGTTCTGAGATTTTGCTCGCAGCTTGTTCGACCATGCCCTTGTAATCGATTTGATTGCTATCAGTCATGTCGGACATGGCCGATGGCGCGTGGATGTGTGTACCGTCTGCGGCGATGGTATGGATTTGTGGCATCATGACCTGTTGCATTGACCGTCAGCATCCTGAACCATGCTGCAGGGCATGGTTGACCTACAGATTCCTCCTTCTCTGTAAACTCTTGCTTCACCGCTGCGGAAGGCTCCTTCCAGGGCAAAATCGGGACGCGCAACTTCTCGGATTCGACCTGCAATTCACCATTGAACTCGGGGATATACGCAAAATCGATTGTAGAAGTGTCGTGAACAGCCTTGAGGGTCCGGCTTGTGTTGAAGTGACGGACTTTGGCACCCGTCTCGCTAGCCTCGGGCACGGGTATGTTTGCAGAGGCAGGCAAGCGGGGCGCATAGGATTGGCGGTCGAGGGGTTTGTCGGATGTGAGAAGTGATGAAAAGCTTGTTGGGCCAGACTGATGCATGTTGCGGGTTTGCCGTGTAGTGATGGCCTTGAAGGCGCGGGCTGAAATGCGTGAAACGGACATGGTGATGGATTGAACTGTGTTGGGAGATGGGCGGAGAAGAGGTGAGAGTAGAGCGATTAGTATGATGGGCAGCCAAAGATTACAGGGTAGGAACGGCTGAAGCAGGAGCGTTTATTGGTCCCGGTAGAACTGCGTGGTACTGTGCTATCAGAATAACCGGAGGGCTGGTGGTTGTGTGAGGAATGGATGAGACCGCTACGTGAGGGGAACCTCTCTGCTTTTGAGTAAGAGAGAGTGCGTAGGTACGACATACGGGACGCACAAGATAACAGGGCGTTCCGGGGCGCTCGGCCTCGTTGTAGAAGCCCTGATAATGGGCGGTCAACAATCCATAGTTGCGCCTTAGCCACGGGAATCCGACTGCTGCACTACTCCGCTCACCAAACAGGCTGGATTATTGGATCCTCGGGGGATGCAGCAATCAGGTCCGCGAGACTCAACGCTCCCAGGCCTCAAGTTGTAAGGAGCTTGGATGCAGCCACTAGGCTGGTTGCGGTACAGCCAGGAGCCCGAGCCAATGGAAAGGGTCCACTTTGATGTGCCCCCCCCGCATCTCTAAATCGTCGTAGAGCAAAGCTTGGGAAAGTCATGCCATCTCTTGTCAGGCAGATGAGAGATGAAGGCGATGCGCTATCTGACTGCATATGCGCCAGTAAACGGCCATGACGGTGCGACACTCATCGCACCCACAAGGCTGTCTCGCAAAGGGGCCTTTTTTGTACGCCTCACGCTGCCAGTGTCTTTGGTGTTTTGCGCAAGAATGTCGGTGTGTGGCCTAGGCAATCCACACCAGACGCTGTGACTGTACTGGGGATGTTGGGTCGATCAGGTTTAGCCGAGTTGCTGCGATGTCGGCTCCAGTAGGTACAGTACCTATTATCCTGAACGCGTGTGCCGACTAGAGTACCGTGCGACTTTTGTGTCTGTAAGATCGGCTCTCCGCCGCCCACTGCATAAAGCTTCCGTGTCCCTTGTGGGTGTAGTGAGACGGACAGGAAGGGCGTCCAATGAAGTGTCACTTGCAGCATCGACGGCGAGTTCCTTGTCTCAATCACAAAGTCTCCTGAAAACAGCATGATCATCTCTAGTCATGACGTTGGTTGCGTGACAAGAGCAAACACACCGTGATGGATACCTGTCAAGGGGCTCAACAATTGTGGACACAGCATGGCCTTTGGGCAACATCCACAAATTTTGTTAGATACCAAGATACGCGAGATGATCGCTCGCAAGGTCTGCTCAAACGAGTATCGGCTATATTTGCAATATAAAAAGGTACCGGTAGGTATAAGTAATATGTTGTGTTAGTGTTGCTGGCCCCACTACGGTATCCGTCACATCAACCGATCGAACCACCGTTCTCGCACTCCGACCTCGCCCCTGACGGGCTCCTAACTCAGCGACTGTTTTGACAACTGCTTTATAAAGAGTCGTACCGCCAATTTTGTCATCTGACATCTCAATTACAACCAAGTAATTTTGGCCTGATGGTCTAGTGGTATGATTGTCGCTTCGTAAGTTCCCCTTTCTACCCTATCAAAACGCACCTCGTCCTAACAACTCCTACCAGGGGATTTCCACGTCCTGGATTCTATAGAGTCTTCTATGTGACAGGTCCCGGGTTCGAGTCCCGGTCAGGCCCTTGTTCTTTTGCTCATTTTTTGGCAATTTTTTTTCTTGAGGCTGTCATTATACTCTTTGATCAACGTTTTGGCCAGCCACGCTAAGTAAATAGAGCACTTGGTAACAAAGACACATGATGTAGCCAAAGCCTAGGTCGCCATAGTTTGTGCCTTTTGCAACTTCTGTTGCTGCTTTATTTGCGATACAAGGCATTTATTCACCTAGGTATTGCATAACCCATCAAGATTCACACAATAATTTGTAACCCAAAGTTCTTGTCTTAGAAATCTCTAGACTTCATGTTTCTGTAACCTCGCAGCCCATGATTGTCATGCAATCACTTTCAGAACCAACCATGTTCACTGGGAGCAGGGACAACTAGCCTCGTTATGATTTCATGCAACAATGATACATTGCCTATCTATCTTCAACGCAAAGACTGCACGCCGCAGACTTTTGAACAATCGCCCAAAACTCCCCTTCAAAGTCTCCAATCCCGGGGTATATCGACCCTGCGCGCATTTGCGTCCAAAAGCGGTGAAATTGTGGTATCCAAGAAAGAAAGAAAATCAAGGCGATACGAGTAATATGTCGCATCGTCGTCCTGAAATGTAGAGTCGTAAACGCGTAGTGAGACGCAAGAACAGCAAATACCAACCGTGAGGTCAACGACCATCATACGAATCGCTCACCCATCCACCATTGTTACCTGCATAGAGGGGCTGCTGAGCAGGATAATCACTCTCCTCGTCAAAGTATTCGCCCCCACTCGAGGCGTCAAAGGAGCTACGGCCACTAATGTCGCCCTCGACTTCCTCTGGATTGCCTGCAGGGAGTTGATCCCACTGCAGACCCGCAAGAGCAGGATACTGCGCCAGCAAAGCAGCAGGCAAAAATGGCGCTGCGGTCATGCCTTGCGAAAACGGTTCATAGCCTGGCTGCGACGGCATCAACCCAAAGTTCTGGGCAGGCATCTGATTGAACATGCCATTGCCATTACTCATGGACTGACCCTGACCGTCCCAGCCGCCCTTCTCCTGTGCCTCTTCCTCGAGAAGCGGACGGATGCATATGCGGCCAGCTTCGGACCTGAAGTGGCGACCAAGGGCATCTGCGCGGGCGAATCGCCTTCCACAGCCCCAGTTGTTACCGTCTTTGAGATTGCCCCGGCAGACAAACTTCTTCTCTCCAGAATGCAGCCCCTCGTGACGCTTCCGATCGTGCTGACGGGCGAAAGCCTTGCCACAAACACTACACACAAATGGACGCTCGTCTGTATGCGTGCGCAAATGCGATCGTAGGTTGTATGCACGTGTGAAGCGCTTTGGGCACAAGGTGCATTGAAACGTTGCAGGATGTTTCTGCGTACGCTTCGGGTTGGAGCCATCGACAGGAGCAGGCCTAGAAGGATCTGCAAGATCGAGTATATAATCACGATTGGGCACACTCGAAGTCGACGATCGGCGCGATGATTTATTGGCGGGTGAAGGAGATCGAGACTTTGCTGCACTAGGAGACAATGATCGATGCACTTCCGAACCAGGCGTAGACGCGCGCGAGCTCGCACTGGTATAGGGATCCGATTTGGCACGTATCCTATTTCGACTCCGCGCTGATTCCTGTTAGCTAGAACGACTGGTTTCATGTTTGAGCTACTTACATCGGTCCGGGGGACTCAAGGCGTCTGCTTGATGCTCAGGCTTCGGAGGCTCAAAGCTGGCTTGCCTGGATGGCGGTGCGAAGTCAATGTTGATTTCCGGCGGCGACATGGCATCGGCCTGGCCAAACTCCACTCCAGGCTGATTGATCGAAGGAAAGGCCTCGACACCTTGGTTTTGGTATGCATTTATACCCTGCTGTCCAAAATGGTCGTTCATACTCTGATCCAAACCAAACGAACTAGGCTGAAACATGGGAAGCGATTGCTGCTGTTGGGGAATCAAGCGGGGCGAGATGTGTGGACTGTGACCAGGACTGATGTGGGCATTGCTGTCGTTCAGGGAGAATTGGCCGAACCGTGAGACGGGATCGTGGAACAATTGGGGATCATTCTCTGCGTGCATCAAGGGCGAAGGCTGGTCGTGCTCAAAGCTGTCGTGCTGGGCGAGATAAGGCGATGCATGCGCCGAAGACACATCCGAGTATGCGGTCTCACTGGGGACCCTCCTATGTGCGCCAAAGTTGGCCATGTTCCCCCACTCTGCACCCTGTCCATAGGCCGCACTGGGATCGAGCGATGCGTGTCGTGAATGGGCTCGCGACGCAAATGCGCCTTGGTTCATGTTGGGTGAAGCATGTGGGCTCGGCGTCTGGTGATTGTTCATGGTGGGAAGGAGATGTGGTGGTGTCGGGGCGTTGTGTTGCGGGGCGGCGGCCATCTGATTCATGAGCTCACAGGGGTTGACCGAGACCGAGTGGCTCTGTTGCGGCTGCGTGTCGAGCAGATGAAGGTCCCATGTCTGGCCGAGGTAGGACTGATTCGCCTGGCC